ATCCGACTAAATGCTGAACACGAAATAATAAAGGCCTATGATAGACAAAGCCATCATCATAATTTACATTCAAAGGAAAGAGAGTTTGAAATTTCACAACCTGTATGGTTAAATAATGAAAATACCAATGGTTGGAGAGAGGGAGTAATTAAAGAAAGGATAGGACTTTATTCTTATATTGTTGAAACATCCGGGAAAACATTACGGAAGCATGGAGATCAGTTCAGAAATCGTTTAGTTTTCCCAAATCGAGAAAGTTCTTTGGAAGTTACAGAAATGGTTGTGCCAGTGAATGAAGCAAATACAAATACCACATTACGTTGTTCATCAAGAAACCGTAAACCTACAAAGAGGTTTATTCAGGGGCGTCGCTAGCCTTTTTCAGGGGGCTCAACTATTATATTTTTTAAAAATTTGGAAACTCTGAATAATTATTCTGAATTTCATATTTTGTCATTTATTATATTATGCATACAAAATAAACTAGCATATAAATAATTAAAACAATATAAGACTTTTCTAAAAATATTATTTTTTAATACAAAATAAAATCTATTTATTACAGTATAAAATATTTTCGATTGCTGATATAAAAAAAAAAATTTTTGCGTCTAACAAGTGATAAAAAAGGTTAATTAATTCATACATATGCCTCAATTGATAATGGTTTTTAAAAATATCACATTATAAAATTAGCAACTTACATTGACAAAAGGTCAAGAAACTAATCTATCACTCTGTTACCATTTTTAGGCAATGTTTTATAGAATAGACTAATATGAAAAAATTTAAAGGCCTAACCAAATCAACAATTCTTGGAGAAGAGAATATAAACGACCAATCCAAATCATAAAACTATATGGTGGTTAGAGCTTCCTCTGACATGATGGAAGCTAGATAAGTAATTGAGAAAAAAATTATTAGATATTAAATTTCTAAAAGATTATCTTCCATTTTTATGGTATATAAACAACTACACAGTTGACCATTATTGCTTATAAAATATGCAATCATATGCTACCAGCTGTAATAATAATCTTAAATTACATAGCAACACAAATAATAGATGCTGGTTAATTTTCTACATTTTTCACCTTTATTTATTTTACCTTTTTTAAAAATTAATTATTTGCTACTACATTTTGACAACATATCATATCAGTAAATATTCAAATAAAGTAACCCATGACCGAAAAAAAAATTTGATATCTTTAGAATAAATTATGCAAATGTATGGAAGCCTTAAGTTATTTACAAGGCAGGGATGCCATATTAGAAATGAAACATTTTAAAATAAGAAACAGAGTGTTAAGATTTTATATATTATTGTCGCACCACCTCTAGTTGGTATATTTTATCTTAAAATAGTAGTAGTTTGTAATAATATCAAAAATATACTAGTAATAAAAATTTAACTCAAAACTGTTTTTCAAATAAGAAAAAAATAGCTTTCCTAAATACACGTAAAAAAGAGAAGAAAAGTTATCTAATTTATTACATCCATTCTTGGATAAATAAAAAATGTTAAATTTTTAAAAATATTTCTAAATAAATAGATGGCGTTAAATATTTAAAAGCAATTTATTATTTATATTTATAATCAAAAGCATTTATTAGTAAAATTTATTAAAATATTAACTGTAATATATTATATAACTGTCAAATACGTCTGTAAAAGTGGCATTTAACCTAATATTTTATAACCAATTATATCTAATAGAGGATTATAAACTATATGTTTACTTACTTTTTATAAATAAATCTCTTATACTTATTTGAATTTGGACCTTGAAAATAATTTTAAGAAGAGGCATGGTAATTAAATTTAAATATCAATAATATAGTTGATTTTTATTTTGAACTCGGTTAATTACAATATTAAATTTGTTAATTTTCAATATTTAATTAGGGTATAATAATTTAAATAATAAAAGTCAATAAAGCTTCAACTGTTAAAGCTAAATTAATATATAGTGAGTGATATTAATATTCTATTTTTAACACAGAATTTGATTGCAAGCTGACATAGTGAAAATATAATTTATAAGTATTAATCTAATCTAATAATTAAAATAGTATTAATTTAAGAGTAATTTAGATAGACTTATTAATTTTTAAATTATGAAATTAAATCTATATATTATTCAATAGAATTATAAAAGAAATCATTCAGTGGGCAATCAAAAATATTTATTTTTAAATCAAAAATATTTATTTTTAGTTCAAGGGGATATTAAGGAGCCATTAAAAAAAAATTTTTTGCTTCAGGGACTCGAGCCTCTGCGCGCCCTCCAACCTAGCGACGTCACTGGGTTTATTGAAGAAATCTAACTTTAAAATGTTTGAAGGAAATGTAATAAATTAATAAAATATTATTTATAGATATTATATATAAAAATAGAATGGAACATTCGAAAAATTAATTAATAAAATTTGATGTGATTATTTTAAAATAAATTGAAATAAAAAGTAGTAATCGTTTATTATAAATTAGTAGTCGTATTATTACACAATCCTTATAAATAACTCTTTCTTTATTTTTTCCCCTCCCTTAATAAATTTATTTATCACTAAATTCTATTATTTCATTCTTTTCTTCCTATCTCTATTACCTATTACTATTAACCACTATTTCTCAAAACCTTATCAATTCCTTTAATTTATTTTTTTAATATTTATATAATATAATAATTTATACCTTCTTTTTTGGTTAATGATGCTTGGTACCTTAAGGTACCATCTATCAAATTTGAATTTTGTTCATTTTTCATTTGGATAGGCACTACCAAATATATTTATAATATATATTTGAAAAATCGTGATTATTGGAAAGCCTTTATGGTCTAGTAACAAGAGCTTGGTTTACTTATCCCATGCTCCCGGGTTCGAATCCCCTAAATCATCATGTTTTTTTTCTTATTCTAACTTGGTGGTTCCATCCTTGGGGGGATAATATATAGGAGGCCGGACTCGACCACGTGATTCCGTATTAATATATTAAATAATAAAGATCTTATTACATTTTAATAAATTTTGGTCGGTATTTAGCAAATTAGGTTTTGGTATTTATAATGTATCCATACATTCACTTGGTAGTAAGCATCATTAACCTCTTTTTTCACCTTTTTAGTCTTATATTTTCATTATCTTACAACAAATTAACCTTAATCTTAATAACATTACATTCATTATGTTATTTTTTAACCTTAAACTAAATTATCTGCCTTTTCCTTTTTCTTCTATCAATTTATCAAATCGTCTGCTTCTTTTTCTTTTTCTTTTACCTAACAAATACTAAATCTTAATTTTTCTAAATTTAATCTAAAAATCTTTTTTCAAATTACCAATTTTTTTCCTTTTAGTCTACACTTCTATTATCTATATCATTATTACTTGTTTCTTTTTTTATACATATCACCTTTTTTTCTTACTAAATATAAATTTCTAATTCTTACCCTACTATTAAAATATATCTTTATCAACTCAGTGGATACTAGCTTTATCCACAAGAGATCAGGGGTGTCGCTAGCCTTTACAATCTCAGGAGGCTCAACTAAAAAAATTATATGGGGGCTTCGCCCCCCATACCCTCTAATTTGCGGGCCTTCGGCCCGCTTTTGTCCAGCCTTCGGCCGGGTTATATATTAATATATTTTTAAAAATTACTAAACTCAAGTTATTCTTATTTTCATATTTTGTTTTTATTATATTATGCGTACAAAATAAACTAGAATATAAATAATTAAGACTAGAATATTGATCATTAAGACTAGAATATAAATATCATTAAGACTAGAATATAAATATCATTAAGACTAGAATATAAATAATTAAGACTAGAATATAAATAATTAAGACTAGAATATAAATAATTAAAACTAGAATATAAATAATTAAAACAATACATTTCTACAAATTTTTCAATACAAAATAGATTTACTACAGTATAAAGTATTTTAAATTGCTGATATAAAAAATTTCGCGTCTAAAGAATTACAAGTGATAAAACCGATTAATTAATTTATACATATGCCTCAATTTTTTATGTTTTTAAAAACCCCATAAGGCAATATAATTCTAAGCAAATAACATTAACAAAAGGTCATGAAACTAATATAACTCTCTCTTACCATTTTAGACAAAGTTTTATAGAATGGACTAATAAGGAAAAATTTATAGGCCTAACCAAATCAACAATTCTTGAAGAAGAGAATATAAACGACCAATCCAAATCATAAAACTATATGGTGGTTAGAGCTTCCTCTTAGATGACATGATGGAAGCTAGATAAGTAATCGAGAAAATTAATGTGAGAATTAAATTTCTAAAAGATTATCTTCCATTTTTAATCCTATATAAACTACTGGACAGTTGATCATTGTTGCTCATCTTAATTATGCAATTAGCAGGTTTGGAATGATAAAAATGTTATTGATTCATTTGGAAAGGTAAAAATGTTATTAATTCATTTGGAATGGTAAAAATTTAATTTTTAATGTATTATTTATTATATTTAACAGGTTTGGAATGGTAAAAATGTTATTGATTCATTTGGAAAGGTAAAAATGTTATTAATTCATTTGGAATGGTAAAAATTTAATTTTTAATGTATTATTTATTATATTTAACAGGTTTGGAATGGTAAAAATGTTATTGATTCATTTGGAAAGGTAAAAATGTTATTAATTCATTTGGAATGGTAAAAATGTAATTTTAAATGTATTTATTTATGTTATTATAAGATTCAATTTCTACAGCAAATTAAGAAGCATTTTATTATTCAAATATAGATTATTTATAATGTATAAGACAAATATTTATTATTTAAAATGTATAAAACAAAGAAACATGATTAAAATAAATATAAATTATTCAACATATATAAAACAAATATAAATTAAATATTATCAAATACATTTGAATTGTATACTAATTTAATATAAGCTGATGATTTATCAGCAAACTCTAATTTATTAATAATATCATTATTATATTGTGTAGTCAGCTTTTCCAAATTTCTTTCTTTTAGGATATATTTGGAATTTGTTTTTTTAGAGTCATTCCTATGAGGTAATATAATGCCTAATAATTAAATGATTATAAAATTTGATAACTTGTTAAACTTGATATGGCATTAAGAGGTTGCATGTTAGGTGTTACTAGGGGTTGAGATTGAGCAAATATATTACCTAAAAGTAATGAATAGAAAAAGATAATAATTAATGATACTAGTTAAAGTTGGTTGAGAGTTTGTGACAAAGAACTGAGACTGAGTAAACATATTGTCTAAAAAAAATTGATTATAGAAATTTTATTTTGTGAAACTTGATATGGTATTAGCAGACTGCATGTTGGGCATTGCTAGAATTTGAGATTGAGTAAGCTGATAGTCTAAAACTATATTTATTTTAAAAATCTAATATTTTATGAAACTTGATAATGAAGGTTAGGTTGTATAATTTGTTGAGATAATTGGAATTGAGTTATTGGTTGACTATCAGACATAAGTAGAAGATTATTGACTAAATAATAGGTGTTATAGTGAATTATCTATAAAAAAAACTTACCAATAGGGGATTTACATTGTTCTAAGGTATGATCCTGAGTTTATGTGAACTTACTGATTGACAAATACCCCCTACAGAACAACTTTTTCTTCTACATCGGTAATATGATTTGGAATTAATTACTCTATGCAATGTATATTCCAAATCATTAAAACATAGAATATCATGTCCTCTTTTGGATTTTTTATTAGTAATTTTGTTTTCTAAAATTACATTACTAAATTGATTATATCTAGATTGTTAACATCAGGGGCGGACTGGCCATAAGACCAGGTGGGCATTTTGCCCACGAGGCCGCGTTAAATGTCGATTTTTGAGGCCGATCAGAGGAAAATATCAAAAAAGAGGCCGATTAGAAAAAAAATATATTATTATGTTCACATTATTTACTATTTATTTATTTTTAATGATATTTCTATGATTTGAATATCACATTCCTTGACAATTGTCATGTCGTTTACTATAATTTAATGCATAAAATACCAGTAACGTGGCTTGACGCTATACATCATTACCTCGTTTTTTTCTTTGCTTTTTTTCAAATGAAATAAAAACGCTTCCGTTTGAGTAGAGTGAAAGCTAAGTTTTGATTAATTCATTACATTGCATTTTTATACATTGATTTATGGTAGAAATAATATAGCCAACATTTCTTGTTCTTAATTCATTGAAATCAAATAAAATCCAGGTCGGTGAATCAGATTAAAGGATGGATGCTTGGGTAAAACAGAATAATTTATCTGGCCAAAATAAGTTGAGAAAGCTGCAAAAAATTTCTCGATCTAGAAAAGGCCTTCGATAGAATCCCGGAAAACTTATCTGGTGGGCGCTACGCCACAAAAGGTTCCCGAAAAATAGATAAGAATAATATAGGATATGTATATGGGCCATACAACAATGGTCCGTAGCACAACAGGTACTTCAGCAGGCTTCACAATAGCCGAAGGAATTCATCAAGGATCGGCTCTCAGCCCACTTCTCTTCATTACAGTAATAGATGTATTAGCACAATCTATACCTCAAACAGTCCTGTGGAATATGATATTTGCAGATGATATTGTGATACATGCCGAATCCAAGGATGAAATGAAAGAAAGATTAGTGAATTAGATAAATATCCTAAAAAAGCACGGACTAAAAGTAAATAAAGAAATGACGGAATATATGGTGATAGGAGGAGATGAAACAGAGAGTATTGATATAAATGAATGGCAGATATCGGCAATTGAAAGCTGCAAATATTTGGGCTCCACTATACAAACAAACGGCAAAAAGAGATAAAGAGTAAAATTAATCATGGGTGGTTAAAAGTGCTATTTGACAAAAGAATCCCACACAATTTATAGGGAAAAATTTACAGTTCCATAATACAACCAACTATTCTATATAGTTCGGAAATATGGCCAACCAAGGAATCAGACGAGAAAAGTCTACAAACTATGGAGGTGAGAATGCTGAGGATGATTGCTGGAGTAACAAGAAAGGATAAAGTGCGCAGTACAAGAATACTAAGTAGTTTAAAGGTAGACTAAGTTAATGGTAAACAGACTTAGGTGGTATGGGCACACAATGAGAAGGTCTATGAACTACATAGGAAATAAGGTTGAGAGCTTGGAAGTGATGAGCAAACGTAAAAGAGGAAGGCCAAAACTTCAATGGGGCCATAAAGTTAGAGCCAATATAAAGAAGTATAAATTAGATATAAGAGATTGTATGAATAACATAAAGTGGAGAGAGATGTTGAAGGAGCTTACCACCAGAAAAGGTGAAAGCTAAAGAGAAAAAAAAAGAAAAAAGAAGGAAATTATGCCAGGCTCTAAAGGAATGCCAGAAAAATAATTTAATGATATACCCCCTTTTAAAATGTTTAACTATTTAAAATTTAGATTGCAAATCTTATATTGCTGAGGATATTCAGCAGATAGAATAATTTTTAATTTCCTCTTAAAATGTGTGGAAAATCCTATGAGGTTGGGAAGTAGGATTTCAGGATTTCTATCTTGATGACATAAATAGTAAAGATATATATATTGCGTGTTAAATTACGTAACGAATAATGTTCATTTGCCAGTGTACTCAAAGATATGGTAGCAGAATAAATGAAATGGAAGATGATCGTATGAACAAGTGAGGAGTCAAATGAAGAAGAAGGAATATTACAATATCATAATAACTCAGAGTGTGATAATAAGTGTAACAAATGTTGAATATGCGCGTATGAAATTTTTAAAAGATGCAATATGCATACAAGTGACACTAATTTATTGGCATATGAATACATTTTAACTTTGTCATTTACGCAAATTAATTGCGAGAAAACATTTAGTAAATTAAAAATTACAAAAATAAGCTGAGATCTAATATTGACCAAGAAAAATTAAAAGCGTTTTTAATGATGTCAGTTGAATGAGAATCATTGGCGCAGATTGAACTAGAAGATATTCCTGTATATTTGCGTAAAGGTTCAAAATTAATGAGAGATTTATTAACGTAAAAATTATATATTTCCTTAATTCTTTTATTTGAATTTTATTAATATCTATTTACAATATGATCGGTGCCTGATTTTATAAGTGCAGCAATTTTATACGCTGTAGTATTGTATAACTGCAATAATTATATGTGTAAAATTAATAGATTTGATATATTAAGTATGTATTTTTATATTTAACAGATGTATGATTTGATTTTATAGTGCAATATCGTTATAAATTTAATATAAAAAAATATATATGTGCAATGAATATTATTTTATATTGGTAGTGAATATGATTTTAGATGTGCATTTTTTAAAAATAAATTATAAATACTATTCTTTTTTTTACTAAAAATGTAAATCTTTTGAACTTATTTTCAAAAATAAGAAGTAATAAAAATCATGTAAATCGAAGAAGCCATATAAGGGAAGGGGGCGAAGCCCCCATATTAATGAGGCCGCTATAAAAAAATGCCCACGAGGCCGTAGCGTCGCCAGTCCGCCCCTGGTTAACATTGAATTATATTGGGATTAATTCTTTTCTCAAGAAGAATTGTGATATTGTTTGATACCGTTTTAATTTCCATTACAATGATTATAAATAAAAATATTTTTAAACTATTACTTTTCCCGCACTTAAATGAACCAATCACAGAATTGGACGAAACTTTACGATGAAGTGTCCATACGATCATAGGCACGGAAATCAACTCATATCAAAATCTAGTATGTTAGATATATTGATAAAGCAAAAACACCTAAAATCTTGGAAGAAATTATGTTTGGAAGAAATTATGCAAATATATTGAAGCCTTGAGTTATTTACAATTTAAGTGTGCCAAATTAGAAATGAATAATTTGGGAGCTAGAAAATAAGTACCATAGTGATATGATGAAAGCAATTAAGATCTTATATATTATTGTATTGTCAATGTATTCAAATATTTTTAATTAAATTTTTCAGAAACTTTGGTCATATCAAAAGAAAGCATTTACTGTTTTTTCTGATTTTTTCCTATCTCAAAAAGAATTTTTTTATAAGCACCATGTCTTTTAGCTAATTTTGGATATGAAAAAAAAATTTATAAAATAAATATTAAACGATATATTTACTCGCAGATACTAACGCCTAAAATTGCGTTTCAAAAATTATAAGGTTAAATTATTTATAAAATAAGTTCACTACGCCGGCTAGTCATTATTGCATATTCATCTATAATGTGATCTATAGGAATGATATTAATAATATTTTTTTCTATGCTCAATAGAGCTAACAAATTTAATCGTTCCTGACCCATTGTCGATCGAAGATATGTTTTCACCTGTTTCAATTCTGAAAACGATCTTTCACATGAGCAGGAATTAAAAGATATAGTTAACGCAATTTTAAGGCAATTAAATATACGAGGGAATATATCTATGGGTAAGATTTTTAACAAATCTATTATTGATTTATACGTAGATTCGTGTTTTTTATTATAGGTTAAAATATAAGCCTTTAATATTATGTATTCTTCCATTGAATCAGGAAGATTATAATGTAAGATAAATGGTTTAATGATATCATTATTTAAAAAAGGGGGGGGAGGAGGGATGTAAAGCATTTATAGCTATTAAAATATCTGTGTTTTCTTGGCAAAATCTCTTTTTTAATTCATCAAAATTGGATAAAAGACATGACACTTATAAAAAGTTTCTGTTTGATCAGAATGATTAGAAGAAACAATATCATCTATTTGAATATGATTATTCAAAATGGTAGAAGGTATATTTGCTCTTTTATTTGTTATTTTTATATTATATAAATTGCAAAATTTATTTACTTCGGTAAATAATGAAGAAAAATACGAATTATTTCTTAAATTTGACAAAGAACTGATAAGAGACTCAATAAGAGCCAGTGCTGTTGATATGTCCGAATCTGATTTTTGCAAAAAAAATAGAAATATTGGAACACATAGATAATAATTTTTGGAATATAAACATAATTGTATCATATTGTAAAAGAATATATAAAATTCCCTTTGCTTTCACCACATCACCATGGTCCATATTTTCTAGATAAGAAATAATTGCAGGGAAAGTCATTTTTACTGCCTCTATAGTTCTAATATGGGATCCCCAACGTGTAGAACTCAAGGCATCAATATTTTTGGATTTTAACCCTAATCATAATTGCAAATCAAGAAATTTATTGTGATGGATAACAGATATTGAGAAAAAAGCATGAATACCTTCTAATACATTAAAAAATTTTATAGATTGAGGTACTGATTTGCAGGCAGAAATCAGTACAAGGTTGAGTTTATGTGCATAGCAGTGCACATATATAGCCATTTTGTGATTTTGGCGATATCTTTCCTGGACTCCTGAAAGATGCCCTTTCATAACACTTGCACCATCACATGCTTGAGCAACGCAAATTGCATTTATGGAATTGTTGTTTAAGGTTTAAGCAAACTATTCTAAATTTATTTAGCATTATTATTAAAATATAGTTTATTATTAAGTTAGGATAAACAAATAAATATATAATTATCAAATTATGAAAGAATGATTGAGTAAACAATTCAATAAATTTATTTAGCATTTTTATTAAAATATAGTTTAATATTAAGTTAGGATGAACAAATAAATATATAATTATCAAATTATGAAATTGAGTAAACAATTTAGCCAATATTATCTTTATTAATGTAAAAAGAATAATAGTGTATGATTTTTTAAGATATTGACTTTTTATATAGAAAATATTTACTATGTTTTATTTAGCTAATATTTTGACATCACCTCATGTGATTATAATAGAAAAATTTTAAAAAAAATTTCCATTTCTAGTGTCCTGCTCCTGAAAGGTGAAAATATATTGTAAAGCAATTTTTGCTTAACTTGAAAACTAAAGAAATCAATATTGTTTAATACTCTGGTGAAAAATGACTTAAATAGAAATTCTATAGAAATTAGGCAAATTTGGGAGGAAATAGGAAAAACATATAACTTCAATTATGATCAAGTGAAAAAGAAATCTTCCATTAAAATAGATAATTAACTAATAAATTTTTATTTTTTAAAACTTAAATGTCCAAAGTGTTTTGTTATTAATTTGTGAAAATTTTAAGGATTTTTTCAAAACATTTTGGACACAGACTTATATATAAATTTATTTACCTATTTTCTTTCTTTTAACATTTTTGTTTTCAATATTTATATCTTTTAAAACTACAATTAATCGTCTTTCAACTAAATCAAAGTTTGAATTTTAAAAACTGTATAAAATATACTTTGTTCATCACCAGCTTTATTATTGAATCCCCTTCTTTGGTCCTCAAGATTATTGCTACTTTTATCTTTAGTTTTTTTCATAAAGTCTTTATTGCTTAAATTTTTAAATCGCAAAGTCATTTTATTTAAATAGTGATTTTAAACTCGGCTTACAATATTAAATTTGTTAATTTTCAGTTAATAAATCTTTATATTTATTTAATTCGGGTTGTATAATAATTTAATTAATAAAAATCAATTAAACTTCAACTGTTAATGCTAAATTGAAATTTAAACATTATGCATGGTATTGATATTTTATTTTTAACAAATAATTTGATTGCAAGCTAATAGGGTGATATAATTTGTATGTATTAATCTAATCTAATAAAATTTAGATAGTCTTATTAATTTTTAAATAATAAAATTAAATCTATATATTACTTAATAGAATTATAATAAACAGGGGACAATCAAAAAAAGTTCAATTTAATTTAAGGGGATATTAAGGAACCATTAAAAAAAAATTTTTTTTGCTTCAGGGGCTATTCAAATTTTTCAGGGGGCTTGAGCACCTGCGCGACCCCCCCCCCCCAGTGACGCCACTGCAATAGATACCGTAAGTTTTCTTAAATTAAACGGGCCCTGGCAGTAGGGTAAATTACTGTCAATTTAGTGGATTTTGCTTATTCATGAGAGATATCATAAGTCCTCTTAAATTAAACGGGCCCTGACAGTAGGGTAAACTACTTCCAAACAGTGAATGCAAATTCACTGCATTGGAGACGCCCACTATGGGGTAGTGGAGTGCCCACTTAATTGTGGGATGTCTCCACAGTGTATGATATGATATATATGTTACAAAATTCTCTATAATTTTCAAAAGTAAGATGAGTATTTCTATTATTTTAGCAATATATTATAATCTCTTAAAGTTTTCTGATTATCCACAAATATAGAATATATTTTGTTGATATGACCCAGCGAATAGGCGTAGCCGGGGGGAGGCAAGGGGAAATTCCCCCCCCCCCTTCAGAAATTTATCATTTTTTGTAAATATCATTTTTAGCTAATAAAAAATATCCCCCTTAGTCCTCCCCCCACTCCCTGACCCTCAAATATGTATGCATATATTTTAAATAATAATTTAAAAGAAAGAATGTAAAGGTTGATATTTTTTTATAAAACTATTCATCATAATTTATAGATTTTTGGGAAAATAAATTTAGAAATATATATAAAATGAACCAAAAATGTTTTTTAATAAATGGAATATAAGCCAAAGTCTTAAGACAGAAGTGAAATGTATTATAATTATTAATAATAGATCCATAAAATTACTAAATAATATAATATATCAAATATAATTTTTTATAAAGTGAGTAATTTTAATTTATTAAATCTTAATAAAAGTAAAATATAATTTTAAAACTATTGATAAAATCAAATCATAAATTAAAAAAATATTAAAGCACAATACAAACAGTGGAATATGTCGTAGATTTATAGTATATCTAATTATCAAATGACAATCAAGTAATTTTTACCAATATAGCGAAATATATATTTTACAGAAAACTATAAAATATTGGGACATCAGAAAATATCTTTTAAAGACATTGTGGAATGAATAATATGAAGATTTAATTTAAATATTATTTTTACTTAAAATAAATAGATGGCGTTAAATAATTGGATGCAAATTATTGCTCTATTTAATAACAAGAGCATTGATTAGTAAAATTTGTTAAATTATTATCTGTAATATATTCTCTAACTGTCAAATATGTCTGTAAAAGTGGAATTTTACCTAGTATTTTATAACTAATTCTATAGAGAGTAAAATCAACTATATGTCTACTTACTTTTTATAAATAAATTTCTTATAATTGTTTGGAATAAATTATTACCATGCTTTTATATTAAGGTATATACAATACAAGTAATTTATTATATTTTTATTTTATATAAACTAATAAAAATATTTTTTTAATTCCCCCCCCCCCCCCTTATGAAAATCCTGGCTACGCCTATGCAACCGTGAAACATGTAGAAAGGCATAAAGGCAGGAAAACAGAAGAAAATAAACAGTTGGTGAGATATGGAAGCCATGGCGAACGACAAAATTTACAATCTAATTACGATAACAGACAACGATGGATAACAAGAGGCCATGACTTTTAAAGAAATAATTACAACCATAGATATCAAGGAAATAATTACAACCCTAGATATCAGAATTATAACGCGAATTATTACAACAACGTCAGAGCAAACTATCCAGGATCGTACAATAATTCCTCGAGATTTGATAATAGAGCTAGTTATAATAACAATAACTATAATAATTATAGGTTTAATAATGATTATAATTACAGATATAACAGACATTAAACGATTCAAGATTTATTCATAGACATAACGATAATCATAATATTGGAAATCAAGGAAGAAATCTAGTATGCAATTGTAAATATATAACAACGATAATAATCAATCACGATATACAAATAAAGTAAACACTGTAAATATAGAAAAGATAAAAGAAGACGATAATGACAAACTAGAAAGAAAAGAATATAATTTAGACAATTTAGACATAAACAATATGGATACCGATAATAATTACACAGCTAACGATGCATATAAGGTTACAGTATATTTGAACGACATGCCTATTTTGATGCAGATTGACACCGGCTCAAGGTATAGTATCCTACCGATCCATATCGCGAAAAGGATGATTAAAAATCTTAAATAAATCAGATATTAAATTAACTGGATATGATGGAAACACAATAAATGTATTAGGAACTACCAAAGTCAAGGAAAAATTCGAGGACAAAAGTCAAATCTTAGCTGCTTATGTAGTCCAGAGTAATAAGATTGCACTGTTAGGAAGGACCTGGATAACAGTTTTTGGGAATATATTAAATAAATTTGTGAATATGGTCGAGGATGATTATGATAATACTATATAAGAATTAATTAAGCAATGTAATTTTAAACTTAACAAAAAATCAATGCTTCACAGCTATGTCAAATTACGTTTAAAACACGATGCCACACCGAAAATCATACCGCCAAGGCGTATACCATATTCTAGAATTGATTTGATAACAAAAGAACTTCAAAAGTGGATAAACGATAAAATTATTGAACCTGTTGAAGATGTTCGATAATCTAGTCCTCTCACTCTCGTTTATAAGAGCGATGGCTCACTTCGACTCTGTGCCGACTTCAAAAATACTATCAACCCTGCTTTACAAGATAACACCCTATACCACGCATTAATGACTTAATCGCAAAATTATCTAAAGGTAAGAAATATACCGAGATAGATTTTAATAAAGCGTTTATCCAAATAACTATATACAAAGAATCAAGAGATTTTCTTACAATATCGACACATAAGGACTATTATAGGTTTACGAGATTGCCGTTTGGTTTAAAAACTTCGTCGGCAATATTCCAACAAACTATGAATAACATTTTCGGAGAATTAAAAAATGTTATATTCTACATTGACGACTTGTTAATTACAGATGATAACGATGAGATACATTTGGAGAACATTAAAAAAGTATTTGAAAAGATCATCAAGTATGGCCCCCATTTTCGACAAAAGTTTATTCCTGCAAGATAAAATACGCTTTTAGGGACTTACCAATAAATTTTAAAAGAATAGTTCAACTAGTTTTGATATCGAATTAATGGAGGTAATTAATAATATAAAGAATCACGAACAGATAAAGAATAAAATATATAAAAATATGGAAATGGAAATGAGCTTAATTAAAGATTGTCTTTTTAAAGAGAATAGGATCATTAAGGAATTACACAAAGGGCATCTTGGTGCAGGGAAAACGAAATTGTTGGCAAGAGATTATTTGTGGTGGCCTACTCTAAACGCTGAAATAGATCAGGAGGTGAGAAACTGTGATACGTGTAATAAATATGCGGACAATCCTCATAATGTACAAAATCCATAAACAGCTGTAAAAGTGTTCGAACGCGTGCACATCGACTTTGCACAGTTTGAAGGTAGCAATTTCTTGGTATGTGTTGACACACTTAGCAAGTTTCCTATCATTAGAAGAATGAGAGATATAACTACGATGTCTACAATCAAAAAAATATTAAAGATAATCAGTATGTTTGGTATACCCAATATGATAATCAGTGATAATGGTACGAATTTTAGAGTAGCACACCTCTTGATGAAACGACACATTTGAAAACAAATACTGAAAATGCAATACCTTTTACTGTAAGTTTTAGAAGAAATGATGATCAAAATTAGGAATACAAGAACAGAGTCTTGTTAGTCAAAGACCAAGCAGGAATATAATTTTGCCCAAAAAATTCGATAATTTTATAATGAAATAAAGATTAAAATATATAATAAAATATTTTTTTTTAAATAAACTTTCAATAGCAAATATCAAGAAACGTTGACTGCACGTTAAGATTCACAGTAAGAAAAACCTGAATGGAGATCGTTTTTTTTAACGGGTGGAATGTTGATATGACCGATTAATACTAACCTTTAAATTATTTTTTTTTATGTTTATATAAATTGATTTTTTTTATAAATTGTGAAGATTGATTTTTTTTATATAAATTATTATATTAATATGTAAATTGTTATATAAGCATGATATTTTAGTTTTAAAAATTTTAAAATAAATGAAATAAAATTAAACTCATAACTTTGATTTATTCTAAATTAAATAAAATTGAACTCGTAACATTCAAATATTCTTAGAAAACTTTATATTTATATTGATGTGCCAAGAAGATATTAAATTTTTAACATTTAATACATTCTAATAATTAGCTAATAATTTAACTAAATAAAATAATCAAATGAATCGTAACCACAACTGATAATTTTATCAAGTTCTTCAATTAAATTTTATTAGTAATCTTTAAAATAATAGACTCAAGATTTACATATTTAAATGCTGCACTGTCACCAAACAATACTACATCATACCAGAGATTATCCAAAGAGACATATAGATTCCCCACAATACCACCCATCATACAAAATCACCAAAATTACAACTTACAAAATATTCCATACCAAATATGCCACCAAATAATGTCCACTGCTTATATATAATTGCCAATACCCCTTATCACCCTGATTCCTTTTACTCAATCAAGATAATAATGATGAGAATACTTCTTTCAATCATATAAAGTTTTAATAATTTATCTACTTGATTAATATTATTATTTAAAAATTTTTTTTATTTATAAACATTCCTCAACCATCTAATCCCCAATTATTTAATAAAGAATCTCATCTGTTTACAAAATCACTTATTATATTTTTTATTTATATTTATTATTCTTTTCAAGAATATTAGCTTTTATAGTTTTATCAAATTCACTTGATATTTCAATAGAAATTTTGTTATACACATGTTGTTCATTTATGGAATCTTTATTATTAAATAATAAATTACATTAATTTTATTTATATAATCTTTTATGATTCCAATCTTAATAATAAATATCACAGATGCAATTTATTGTAGTTGCTGGTACTTTCAATTTTAGGTAATATAGTGGCCTTAATAATTACTCATAAATTTATAAAAAAATAGACCTGTATAGATAAAATTAAATTTACAAATTTTGTTACAAATAATAGAAATAAATGCTATTAATTTTTTTTTTATTTAAATTATTAATTTTATTACAAAGGAAGAATTAAAGAGAAAATATAAAAGCAGAATCAAAAAATAATGTTGAGAAAAAGAGATTTTATAAAAAAAAATTTCTTTTCATTAAAAGTAATTTTGGATTATGTTTCCTAGATGAAATAAGTTTATAAACCATCTTAAAAGATGGGTAGATAGCTCACCTTAATTTTTATTTTCTTATCATTTTTTGGTTTTAATTATTTCATCTTAATTATAAATGATAAATAAAAAACATCTTTATTATTTTTTTCAATATTTAATGTAATAATATCATTCTTTGCCTGAGTATAAATTATATTATATAAATCATTTATTCAGGGCCGTAGCCACGGGGGGGCCCCGGGCCCCAAACCTGGCCCCCAGAAAAAATCTTTGGCCCCCAAAAGTGGCCCCCAAAAAATTTTCTGCCCCCCCCCAAATTTGAAATTTTTTTTTAGAATTGATTATTTTTATATTTTTAATATAAATTTTAAATATTTATTCAAAAATATTCAAAAAACATGTCTATTTAGAATTGATTATTTTTATATTTTTAAAATAAATTTTGAATATTTATTCTACAAACATATCTAGTTTGTAAAAATTTTTTTTATCCAATATTAAATTATCATTCATTCATTTTTTTTCATCTGTTTTTGTTGTGTATCACATTCTCTATAGGTATCACATTAATATTATAATATATAACCAGTTATTTTATTTTAGAGCGTTTATTTTAAAATTATGAAGAAACAATCAATTATAAACTCTTATTTTAAGTTAAAGTTAAACAAATGTCAAGCAACATCACCTCTACAAACTACTAGTAATACTACATCAGAAATTTCAGAAACTGATTCTTCTCAAAGTTAGTATAAATTTATATTATTATTTCATGACTTATATGATATTGATATATGGCAATATTTGTATATTATTATTTAATATAATATATATATTTTATATAAGATAAGAGAAAGACATTTAATATTAATATTATCATTTTTGTATAATAATTTTAATTATTAAAATAAATATATTTACTCATATTTCAAGATATGAATGAAGCTAATCTAGAAAATCAAGAGGAGGAAGATGGTAAATAGTTTAAAATTTAACCCAAATTTTTCTATTTATATATTTTTGACATGAATAGGAGTAGGAGATTATGGTGTTTCATTATTACATTTTGATTTTAAAACAAATAAAGACGAAGAAGAGACTCAATCATCTTCATCTAGCTGCTCAGTCTCTCATTGTCAAGAAGCAACTAGTAATTGATTTATAAATATAAAAATATTATATATTTTTGTTAATCTTTAAAGATATAATGTTTATGACTTTTTTCTAGTTTTTAATACTGAAATTTTACTGATCAACTTTACTGATAATCTTCATCAGGGTTGGGCACTACAGTAACTTGTATCTTAAATACAAGATAAATTTTGTGTTTGTTCATTTTCAGCATGCCCTTCCTTCGCCCATCCTGATGACCATTATTATTTATGACCCTTTCCCTCATTACAATTTATTAATTATAATATTTTTAGTGTCAAAAAAGTCCTCTAATGGTTCAATTCAAATCCCTGGTGACCTTGGCCAGAATAAACCAAATCAAATCAAATTAAACAATTACGCGAAAAAAGATATCCATGGAAGGCAAAGATCATTTCAAAAATCATGGTATAGAGGCCGAGACTGGTTGGAGTATAGTGTAGAAGCTGACGCTGCCTTTTGTTTTCCATGTAGGAAATACTTGTGTAATCTAAGTGATGAATTTGGACAAACGGGATTCAGAAATTGGAAAAATGCGTTAGCTGCCAAGAAGGGACTGCTTAAACACGAGAGCTCAAAAGCTCATTTAAATTCAATTACAATATGGCATGATAAAAATCAAAATATAAACAATGGTACAGAAATAACTAAAATGTTGGGAGGTGATCAAATTAATCGTAATCAATATTATATTAAATCAATATTTGATTTGATGCTGTTTCTTAGCATACAAGAGCTACCTTTCCGTGGGACTGGTTCAACAAATATTACGGATGCTGCAAAAGATGAAAACATAATTTATTCTTCTGGACTATTTATAGCAATGTTTTCCTACACCATCCAAAAAGACCCTGAATTAAATAAAATTATGAAATTTATACCCCAAAATGCCCAGTATACATCACCACAGATTCAAAACGAAGTAATATCCATTATGGCAGATATGGTGCTTGAACATATTTCAGACAAATATAATAAAAGCGAGATGCCTTTTTTTTGTCTTAAGGCCGATGAGACAAAAGATGCTTTAGGTTGTGAAAATCTGAGCATAATAATTCGCTATATTTTTTCTGGAGAAATCCAAGAAAATTTAATAGGAATCATTAATTTAGAGTGTCTTTCTGCTGAAAGCATTACAGATTGCATTTTAAAGCAACTTAATGATCTAAATATTAATTCAGCTAATATAATAAGCCAGTCATATGATGGTGCAAACGTTATGTCTGGCCGAAATGGAGGAGTGCAAACACTTCTTCAAAAAAAATTAATAAAATTGTTCCTTTTATACATTGCTACAACCACAAGTTGCATCTTGTAAAATTGGTATAATAATATTGTTATTATTTCTAATTTTTTTAATTTATCAAATGCATTGTATAATTTTTTCAGGCGTTTTAACGTATCCTGTAAATATACAGGCCACACCCTTAAGAGACTTTTAGACCAGAGATGGACTGGTCATTTAGAAACATATAGCATTATTTATGAGAATTTTGAGGCTATTGGTGAAGTATTATTTTACTTTTCTAATAGAACTCTTAATTCCGAGGTTTCAATTCATTAATCAGCGAAGCCTTTGGTCTTTTATCTCAATGTATTAATATAAATTACATTATATTAGCCATCATAATTTATGAGATATACAATAGATCCACTAAATAAGTATCTACAATCAGTAGATACTAATTTAGTGGATGCTAAAAATTGTATTGATTCTACTATCAATATATTAAAAAATAAAAGAAGTGATAATTCTTTTGCTTTGATTATGATTAAGGCTGAAAAACTTTTATCAAAATTTAATCTCACTCCCCAAAAATTATCACGGGTACGTAAAACGCCTAAAAATTTCCAAGATTTTTTAGTTGATAGCAAACTAGAATTGAAATTATAGATAACTTTGTGGATCGTTTTTTAGACCGATTTACAGAAGATGATTTTAATCTTTTTTCATCTTTTAATACATTGTTCCCCCTTGACCCTGATTATTTTTTATCAGATAAAATGGCCCCATTAAAATCCTGTTAAACTTAAATATGGAAACACTGCATCATGAAATGAAGATAGCAAAAGGATTGCTAGCTTCGGAAGCTAAAGAAAATCATAATTTTGAAAACATCTTACATATTATGTATAAAAAAAATATAATCATGCATTTAAAGAATTATATAAATGCTACTCAGCAGCGATAATCATTGGGATATCAACGGCTTCTTGTGAGGCCTCGTTCTCTTAAAGAGAGTTTTATCGAGCAGTAGAGAGTCTATGAAGGATAAACGTAAACAAAATTTAGTATTAATGGCGTATGAAAAAAGAATAACGCAGAATTTATCTTTTAGTTCATTTATATTAAAATTTAAAAATAAAAATCGCCGTATTCTATTATAGTAATATTTTGTTTTGTATATGCATGTTTTGTATATTCATATTATAGTATTATAGTATTATTTTGTTATTAAATTTTTAATAAAAATAGGAAAAAATTTCTATGAATGCGTAATTATTTGTTTGATTTTAAAAAAATAGTGCCCCCCCCCCCCCAAGTAAGCACTTGGCCCCCCTAAGTGAAAATTCCTGGCTACTGCCCTGCATTTATTTAAAGTAATACAATGTATAAATGAGTATGCCTTGAAAAACAAAAGATATTTTTAACATGTGATGATTCACTTTCATATTATTTTTGATTAAAATTTTCATCCTTTTTGATTAGATCATCACCATTTACATTTGCATAGATAATAAATATCATAATTTTTTATATGCCTAATATTTGGCCCATTCCTTATACAATATAATTTTAAAAATATAAGAGAAGATATAAATATCATCTTACATGACTTATTGATTATTAAATTGTATTGCTTTTGTAAGATTGATTTTTTGCATACCAGTAATGCTGGAAGGAAAATTGTAGAAGCAATGAACAATATGTAATGCATGATTAGGACTTATTAGTTCTTTTCTGTCAATAAATAAAAATTAGTTATAAGCGAAAAAAAATTACGGCAAGTCTTAGGCTGAATCTTTAGTATAGAATTTTAAATTATCAAAAATCAATTTGGTCTGAATACATTAAGGTTTCCCATTTACCGATTCGAGATATTTTTGAATCTTATGATCCTATTTTCTTTATAGATGCTATTTTTTCTTTTCAATTTTTTAAAATAAATATAGAAGTAATTTAAAAATCATTAAATTATCATTATTAAAAATCCTAACATCTTTTAAAATATGATAATGTGGTTGTAGCTTCGATACTTCTATATTTAATAGCGAAAAAGGTAGTCAAATAGACTTGTGGCATATCTATGCTTAAAATTTGTTAAAATGAAGGTTCAACAGAGCTACGCTGGGTATTCCTCATTTTCATTTAACTATATTAAATTAAGTTGGGTGAAAAAATAAAAATAAGGAGCCCTCTACACATTTTTGGGCAAGCAGCAAGCACTTATAAGCACAACAGTCCGAGAACTGTTACTGAAATGTCCATATGCTAAGAAAAGAAGAGTTGGACAAAACAAAAACCTATACCTCAGTGTAATTTAATTAATTTAAGGGTGGGAGATGGCTGATTTTAAGTTAATCCATAAAAAAGAGAGAGATAAAATAAAAATTTAAATTTTTTTATATAGATTAGTAGTTTAAAGTAGCCTGGTCTTACAAGCCCCACCAGCACTGAATTGACTAATCTCGTTTAAAATAATATCTAGATACCATATTATTAAAACATTCTTAAATTATAAAATATATTTTAAAAGTATATTAATATTTGTTAAATTAAAAATAAATTAGCATCTTCTATTGCAAATGTTTTCCAAATTTGACAACGATTTTATATCTTAACAATTAATTATATCAAAATATTTTATGTGTATAATATGCACACTACTAAAATCTATATTGGGATATAATTCAATTATCCTTATGTCTTAAATTTAAAAATGTGATTAAACGATTTGACATGCTCCACGGTTCAACTAGCATCTCCCCTAACTGTTCAAACCTAAAAAAATATGTCTAAAATATATTTTGATTTAAATTCTATTATATATTATTTTCTAGAAGACGCATTCTTCAAGAGTGAAAGGGGTATGCATAGAAAGCTTTAAAATAAAAAAGTTACAGGTTAGCAATTATCAATCAACACTTCCAAATGCTAAAGCAAATTACACATCAAATTCAAAATCGATTAAACAAGTCGAATTGGATGGACAATCTTTTCATTGATTAACTTTTACAATTACAGTAGTAGAAAGTTCATATTTCAATAATTTAACGAATAAAAAAAATAATGTGTTGAACTTAGGTACTTTAGTAATAAAATAGGAAATGTTTTAAAAAATGATGGGTACAAATATTACTAATTTATTTACTATTTCCACAACTCTTTGCAATAAAATATAATGCCCCACTTTATCTTCAATACCTAATGAGACGTGTGTTCAATGCATAGCAAAGGGGATGCTGAAATATAAATTGAGCAGGGATCAAAACCAAATCTGAACCGAACCTTTAACCCTTATCGTTTATTTATAGAACCTAAATCGAACCTGAACCGTTAAGTTTTGTCAACCAAACCTGAACCGAGACCCAAACTCAAATAGATTTTGATCGATAGCATCCGTTAGTATTTTCAGATACTATTATTACTATTCCAGGCTAACTACTTAGATTAGCATATTTAAGTGTTCCCAGCATGGAATTTATTACTTCCCTTTATAAATCTAATTTGACAGAAGAAAATATTGAAAATATTTTAATTGTATATGGCTCAATATTATTTTTTTGGGAATAGGGACAAAATTTTAAAAGAGTGGTTCAATTTACATTATTCTAATAAAGTTGTATGTGAAAAAATTTGAACCGCTTTTTAAAGGTTCAAACCGAACTGATATTATTTCTTACGAATCAAACCTAACTGGGCCTAAACCTAATGTATATTCGTTGAGGTTCGGATCACTATTTTGAGAAACAAGACTTTTAAAAATTATGATAATTGTTAAAAAAAATGAAAATATATATAGTATTTTAATTCATATGCATTTTTTTTACAAAAATAGGAAAAGCAAAGAAGCAAAGATTATAAAAAATTATATTTATAAAAGGTTAATTTAATCGTTATATTTTATTTTATTTTTTAAATAGTTTTTTTAAAATTTTATATAATATAGTTTTCAGATGATAAAATTATTCATTTAATTTTGGGGAAATTATAGATTTCTAAAAAGTTACATATGCAGATATAACTCATATAATGCATTTCAAATTTTTTACACATTCTCAAATAAAAAAACTATAGCTTTATATGCATTTTATAATTAGACATTTTTGGTATAAAAACCCCCTTCGAGTTTAATACTTTAAATAAAAGTGTAATACTTGCTACTACAAGCTCATTAGTTTCCCACTAATGAAAAATGTAATTATTATTTAACACTAGTTATTATAAACAATAAAAAATTTTAATGCATTAATTTTTTAAATAATTTCTTTAATTTAAGTTTTTCAGAATAAAATTATAACTATATAATAAAAAAAGCGATTTTATGTCATAAGTGAAATCCCGCTAAAGGCAGGTAAAAGGTTGGCCTAAGGTTTACCAACATCATCCCCCCCCCCCCCCCCCCATACGAAAAATTTGACTGCGCCTTGGATTAAAATTCATAAATCATTTGATTCCATTGAGTTTTAACAAATTAATATAATATAATTATGTCATAAATGGTAATTTTCAAATCATATGTTATTTGATAGGTCAAAATATGGTTTCAAAATAGGCGAGCAAAAGCTAAAAGAATTCAAGAATCAGATTTGGGAAAAAATTAAATTGGCTGTCGCATCTGCGGCTTTAAAGGCAGCGGGCTGTTTTGATAAGGGCGTAAATGATAGTTTACAGAATAGTTATCAAGATACATTTTTATAAAATTGTTCGAATATTCTTGACACTTCACCTTTATTGACCGATATTAAAGAAAATGCATTAACTAATAACGATATATCATTTGTCACCACTAACTCGATGAAACTGAATAAAATTGAAGAAAAAAGTAATACTTGTGAATCATTAATTAAAAAAAAATCAATTACAAAGGTTAATATAATAATAAGTTGAAATACGAAAATATTAAAATTACCGAGAATCAACTAAACGAATTTGATTTCGAAAATAACTTGAATTTAACTAAATATAGTCATTTTAAAGCATATGATCAGGATAGTTTAATAGAAGGCAACGATCCCCCACCAGATTTAAATCTTAATATTAACTACAATGGATCTATTTTTCAAAACCTCACCAATGTCTCTTCTGTAAAACCTTCTAATCTATACTACTGGCAAAATATTCAGTCCTCTTTCGTACCTTTTCCTTTTGTGCAGCATTCAAATTTAATGTATCCTAATTTTTATATTAATTAATTAGATGTATTCATAACTATGATTACCTGTGATATCTATATTTATCTTATTATCTCTCAGCAGTGTTTGTTTGAGTCATATTTTTTTATAAAATAAAAAACAAATTATTATAGCCTTAAATAACGTGTTTAGAAGATGAAGAAATATGACTATGAAAAAATTAAATATATTTTTTTAATATAATTTTTATTATGAGGCAGTGAGTTAAAATTTATAAAATACTAATAGTTTTATTGTGTTTATTCAGTGGCGTAGCCAGGATTGATCCATGGGGGGGGGGGGGGGGGTTTGAAAAATTTTTTGGGGGCTTCGCCCCCAAACCCCCTTATCAAAATTTGCCAATATTTTGTGTATTATACCCAGGCCAGCGCCAAATTTATAATTAATAAGCGACTGAAAGCATTATTTTGAAAATGTTATCAATATTTAGTAAATTGTATATTAATTCAATCTATTCGATGTAAAAAAAATTTGCCTCCCCCCAAACCTTCCAATTTTATGATCAACTCAATATATCTTATTCTATGTTAAAAATAATTATTTTAATTAAATTTTTGCATATAACAATATTTTGCAGAGATTTTATTTATTATTAACTTTATTTATTTAACTATGTATTTATTTTAATAATATATAAAAAAAATAAATTTCAAAATATATAAATTTTATACAGATTATTATATTAAAAATTGAATGTAAATAACTATATTTTAAAAAAATAAAATTGCAATAAAATATGTAATTCTTACTAAAAAAATACAATTTAACAATTTTATTTAGTATAAACCCTTTATTTAACTATGTGTTTATTTTATATACAAAAAATAAATTTCAAAATTAGAAATTTTATACAGATTACTATTTTAAAAATTGATTGTAAATATCTATATTTTAAAAAAATAAAATTACAATAAAATATAAGTAATTCTTGTATGCAATTTAAAAAAATATAATTTAACAGTTATATTTAATACAAATGAGTATATTATATAAATAATTCTTATTGTAGGTGCAATACTATTATTAAATATAGTATAAAAATATCATGACTAAAAATTCATTATAATTAAGTTTTACATATAAAAATTTTATGACTAAGAAAATATTACAATTATATGATTTGAATTTATAAAGAGAGGTCTACTTTTCTCTAAGATTTGGCTAATTCATCTAGAATCAAATTTTTATCTAGAATAATCTCTTTATAAATATTTAATAGGGCTAATCCATTTAAACGGTTTTCACCGGTGCTATTTCTTAAATAGTTTTTAACCATTTCAAAGTTGAAAAAGACCTTTCATTACTGCAGGTACTAATCGGTAAAGTAGCTAAAATAAAAAACAATGTTTTGATATTGGGCAGGGAATCTAAAGTGCAATTACACATGGAAAGGGCCTGCAAAGCATTTTTTGGTCTCAAAGAGTACTCTATTCTGCTAAGATTTTTATACCAAAATTCGACATCACAAAGTAACTTATCATACGACCCTAATAAATCATCAGAATAAAACTCTGAGATGTTCTTAATATCCTCTCGCGTTTCAAGTGTAATCAACAATTCAGACTCAACCGGCAAAAGAAAATAAAAGCTTTTTAAAATAAAATTGTGACTTATAAATCTTTCCTTTAATTGAAATAAAAATGTATCAATAAGTGGAATAAAAATGTTAATTTTATAAAAATCCTCAATCGTAGATGCATCAATATTTGAGCGATTGGATTGTCTAGAAACTACTCTAGGTTTAAAAATTTCAATCCCAAACATATTAGCGATCTCCTTTACTTTCTCATATATTTCGTGAAATTTTTCATCCACATTATCTCTGATATTTGTTAATATTTCAACAATATCCTTTGCCCTATTCATAACCTCCCTTAAATCCAAATCAATGTAACATTTTGCTAAAATCATATGTATAATTAAATAAAAAATAAACACATTGAATTGAAATTAAAAATTGAGGCTTCGTAATAGCCTGTAAAAGATTTTCCGCATCTGCGGAATCTTTTTCTTTGCGTAATATGTATGATTCCAGTGCCGCAAAAATAACCTCATATAACTCGATGAAAACCTTCACTTGTTGTCTTTCAATGAATCTTGTGGGACAAAATCTTTTTAATTTTTTTTTTGAATTTTTTGAATCAATTTCATCGAACGTTTGGGTAAAAATCTCCCTCTTCTTGGGTGGGGTAAAGAAGTCACAAACCGACGATATTGTTTCTAAATTTTGAAAAATATATAAAAATTATATAAAGATATCTATAATACATAATATAATCTAATAAATTTCAATTAAATCAAAATCTTTTTACGTAAACTGTTCCGGATGTCTCTAATTTCACATGCCTCAGTTATCATCAAATTCAGGCAATGTGAACTGTAGTGAACATAAAGAGCTGTGCTATAAAGCTCTCTAATTCTTGACTGGACCCCTTTAACATGGCCACTCATCGAGGGAGCTCCATCGTACCCTTGGCCTCTCAGTATTTAAATTTAAATCCAGGTTTTGAAGTGATTTAATAATTTGATTAGCAATCGTTTCTGACTTAGTGTCAGGTAATTCAGTAAATTGAACAAATAGTTCCTTCATTTTATAATTACCTGATTCCATATCAATAAACCTTATTGCTATGGATAGTTGTTCAATATTACCAATATCGGAAGTTTCATCCGCCAAAACACTAAAAAATGGTGATGCTTTGACTTTTGAAGAAACTTCCTTTAATATAAACTGATTGCATATTGATATTATTTCATTTTGAATAGTGGGACTTAGGTAAGTAGCATTTTTAAAGGAGCTTTCAAAACGCTTTAGGTAGTTGTCATTATTATTACATAAAAATTTCAATAATTCCTTGAAATTTCCTGCATTGTGAGAAGGGGATGTAAGTGTTATGGGGCCAGGAGATATCCTATGAGCTCTTAACGCCAAGCCCTGCCTCCCTAACCAAATGATAGCATCAATAATTATAATTATTCTTGATCGATTTTTTGTAACAATATCAAAAATTTTTTTATTCAATACATTGGATATTGATATCTTTTGATTCATTGAGATTTCTTTTAAAGAATCCATTATCTCACAGGAATTAAGATGATATTTATTTTTTTGATGATAATTAAAATTTTCGAGCGCATCTCATCTTGTGTACACCTGACTTACCAATGTTTTGAGTTTTTGTAACCCATTTCTAGCATATATTGGGGAAAATATGACGCAAACTTTACAAAATGCGCCCTTTTCATCGGTTGAGTAAGCAAGCCACTTATATTTGTTAAGCCAGGATGCTTGAAAGGTTAAATTTCTTTTGCCCAAGGGCAATGGAAATTTATAACATTTGTCAGGTATCCAAATATTTTCAACAGCTAACAATTTTTCATTATCATTTTTAAAATAAAAATTTAAGTAAAGTGAAACATCTTTTTGAGAACGGTGTGGTGTTTCTATATTTTTTTTTAGATTTTAAATGATATATTTCAATATGAATTTCAATGTTAAGAGCTGAGCAGCACAAGAAAAAAATCTGGATTATAAAAAATGTATCTCAGATAGATATCAAAGTTTTTTAATAAAAATTTAAAGACAGATACAAGTAGAAGGAAATTACTATAGAATATCATTACCAATACAAAATATCTTTATTGTTATTTAATAAATTTAACTATGCCAGAAATTATTTACATACAATATATCTTTATTCTTTTATTGTTATTTAATATTTTAGTTCATATAATTTATATATATTTTTAAACGATGTGATCATTTAAAATTAAAACTCCTTTTTTTATAAATATATTTCTTGTGATATTCATATTCATATTGTATTATATATAATATATTATCTTATTTTTCTAAATTGAAACCGTTTTTTAAATACAATTATTCGCAATAAAAAAATAATAATTTTTTATTTTATAAAAAAAAAAAAAAAAAATAATTTAAAAAAAAAAATTTTTTCATGGGGGGGGGGTTTCGACCCCCCTCCCCCTTGTCTACGCCACTGCTAATAAGATATTACATAAAAAATTAATGATTAATTTGAGCAAAAATAAGAAAGTTTTAATGTCAAAAGTTTATTTATATTTTTAGTCAATTTGCGAAAACATATTATATCTCTACACTCACAATCCTTATCCTCAGAATCTGTTAAAATACCAGGTACATTTTATGGTTCGAGGAAATTATACGCTGATGAAAATTTATTACAACAAATTAATACTTAGATATTTGATAAAAAATAATATTGCGTTTCATACGATAGACAGTCAATCTTTTAAAGACATATTTAAATATTTGAATAAGAATGTGAAAATATGGTGCGGGCAAACTGCCAGCAAGCACCTAGAAACAATATATAATTGTGCCAAGAATAATATAATAAAAATTTTAAATCAAGAACATTATCAATTGTCATTAAATAGATATCTGGTCAGGACTTGATTCGTTATCATATTGTGCGTTAACCGTCCATAAAAAGTGAATAGAAGATCAATTTTTTTTACTTGATATAATAGAATTCCCGCATCCTCACGCCGGAATAGATATGTTTGAGTTAATAATATCAACTCTCGAGGAATTCCAAATTGAAAAAAAAATATTATCTATAACACATTATGATGCAGCAAATGTAATAGTAGCTGCCGATTTGTTAGTTGATTATTTCAAAAATAATGGTAACGTCAATGCGAATAATAACAGGTGCTTAGCTCACATCATTAATATAATCGTTCAAGTTGGCTTAGAGAGCATGACTACATATCTTGCAAAAATACACATTTTAATTAACAAAATGCATAAAAGTCCAAAATTTATGCAAGAATATATAGTTTTAAGTGGAGGTTGTTCCACTTGATATAGCCACCAGATGGAACAGTATGTATTTATTGATAACTACTGTTAATAAAGTAATATTTCATTATTTGATCTGTTTATAATCATATTTTAATATAGAATATTGATGCCATCATTAATATAAGTAAGAGATGTTTACCCAATAAAGATCATTTGAGCCAAGAGGAAGCAAAGTTATTGATTGAGCTAGAGTCCTTTTTATATCCATTCTATAAAATAACGTGCGAAGTAAGTTCGGCGTCAACATCTATAATTGGGATGTCAGCATTGTATCTGGATAATATTGTGAATTCGTTATCGCTTGCGGAATCACATAAAAATAGCATAATAAAAAATGCTGCAAAAAAAATAAAGGAAAAATGTTATATTTATATCGAATATTTAACCTCATTTGCAAATTATATATGCTCATTTCTTGATCCAAGAATCAAAAAAAACCTTTTTACCAATTTTCCTAAATAACCTAGCTATTATGAAAAATTTAAAAGAATATTTGATGACTAAAATACATCGAAATCAATATATGAATTCGAAAAAGAGGAAAATAACGAATCAAATTTAATGTCTGTTAGTATTTTGAACGAGCTAAGAAGGTAAATATAAATACTTAATTTAGAATACTCATTCTAAAACCTCCTAAATAACATTTTTAAAACTTAATTGGAGAGACTAAATTATATTATTCTTACATTAAACAAAATTTATAACAGTTATTGGAGTTAATATAAATATTTATTTAACATTTAAAAAAATTGAGACCTAAGAATTTATAAAATTAATAAAACATATCGTTGCAAAATAGGCATTTTTAAAATAGGTTTGTTACAAGGTTTTACAATGGATTCGACGTATAATAATTAGTTTATTTAAATATTTTATATTAAGGAATGCGTACATTATACCAAATCTAGCTACAGAAGAAATTGAAGAATATCAAGCAGATCCGGTAGCTCAAACGTCTGTTGATATGGTGGATTGGTGGTCTAGAAACTCGAAACGTTTTCCAAAGCTCTCGACAATGGCCAAAGATTACTTATCCCAACAATCTACGTCCGTAGCCAGCGAACGTATTTTTTCTAGGGCCGGCGCCACTATTACTAAGAAAAGGAATCGAATATCAGTGACAACTTTGAAACAATGTCTGTATGGATTCGTGGGATGTTAACATTTTAAATTTGCGTGAAGAATATTTTATGTAATTTATTAGTTAATTTATGAATATAAATTTTTATTTTTTATTTATGAAAATAATAAAGATATTGATAATGTGGCGTATTATATATTTTTTTTTACTTATAAAATGTGTTAAGATAGTTAAAGGCAATTTTAATGTTTAAATTTTTCTTATTTTAATGTTACTATGCAAATGTTTTCAATTACTTTAGAACTATATATACTTGTCTTTTTTATATACGATATATACATTTTATTTATGATTGAAATTGAAATATAATTTTTACACCAAATGAAATATAATTATTGAAAAAAAAATGCCCCTTACTCTCAACCCTTCCCTCTCAAAAATATAACTTAACAATCCAAAAAGATCCTTTTAATAATATTAAATAAATATAATAAACATTACTATAAGTCCACTTTATTTATACACATATAACATATATTTCATAAACATATTAAATCTTCCCCAATCAATCCCGTCTTCATCCAATATCATGTCTTCTTCACTCCAAATCGCAAACAAAGAAACTTTTGTTGTTCTTTTCTAAAAACAACCCATGTGATCATCTCGTTTTGCTCTCATCCACAATGGAGCATTAATTCCCCTGTCAGAAAATAACTGAAATTTTCTGTATTATATTAAATTTATTTCTTCTTTTTTTTTTCAACAGCTACAACAATAATTTTTTTACAAAATGTCACAAACACATAATGGTAGCAGCGTAAAGCGTCTACTCAATGATTCTCCACTTTTCTTATAGTGATGAATACAAAATCATTTTAAAACAAAAAGAAAGATACAAAATATTAAACTAAAATTAACTTCTTAAAAATTATATAAAATCCATACTATAAAAATAAAAAATCTCCTCAGAAATCCTATCTAATAAATATAATATAAACATACTGGCTTCTCACGAAAAAAAATAATATAAAGGTAACGTACCAAATACATTATTTTAATGTTTACCATTTTATTAAATATGCATTATGATATTTTTATTTTACCATATTTACCGTCTAAGGAAACTTAACTTACTCACCTAACTTTTATGATATTTTTATTATTATACTTTATTTTCAATAGTTATCTATTTTTATTAAGTTTAATTAAGTTAATAATCCTTGACCAAAATAAAATAAAACACCCTTAACAGGTAATTATCGAAAATATAAAAAATAATAATAAATAAATAAAATAAAAAAATATATTTAAAAAAAAAATAAATAAAACAACCTTAACAGGTCATGATCAAAAAAAAATAAGAAAAGAAAAAAAGAATAAAATAAAACATAAGAGCAATTTTCTTAACCTTGAAAGGTCATGGTTAAACAAAAAATAAAAAAAAAATAAAAAGAAAGAAAAGATACTATCTACTAAATATATACTTCATTGACATATTTTCTAAAATAAAAATTTCGGAATCAACACTCATTAAAATCAACGAAAATTTCTGATAAATTGTAATCATTCAAGTGTCGGTAGCCTTTACAATCTCAGGTGGCTTTAAAATATTTTTAAAATTATTTTCAAAACTATTTTTTTTAGCCTTCAAAATTATTGTTTTTTAGCTAATATTATCGAAAATTACTTGTTTTTAAAGCTAAGATTATCCTAAATTACAATTTTTTTTAGCTAAAATACTTTTTTTATTAGTATAAAAAAGAAAAATTCAAAATTTTGAGTGGGCTCTTCAAATTTTTAAGGAGGCTCGAGGCTCTACACCCCCCCCCCCCCCCCCCCCCCCCCCACCCCACACCACTCTCTAGTGACATTACTGGATTCATCTATCATCGAATAAAGTGGAAAATTCTGATTCCCATCATTCTTGACGGGCAATCTCTTAGTAAATATTTGTTATTTGATCCATTCTTCTAATAAAAATTGACGGCCACATGTCATTTCACACATTCTATGTTAGCACAGTGATATTTGAAGAGTGCTGTTTACGAAACCATGCTGTATAATTTATATTTACTAGCTTATTTAGTCTTAGAAGGTAAATAGAATTATTTATTTTTTATCAAAGTTTATAATTTTGACAATTTTATATAATTATATTAATCATAATACCAGTTATTTTATTATTTACCTTTAACAAATAGGCTTTTATCAGGGTTGAGATCATTACTCTCAAAAATTAATGGCTACCTTACCATTATTTAAAGAAAAAAATATGATGATTAATTTAGTGTTACCTCAAATAAAAAATATAAATTTTGTTATATTATTTAAAACATTTATATGATAATAAGAAAAGTAGATATTAAAGAATTTAATAAAGATAATAAACCATATTAGGGTAAAAATCAATATAAGATTCTTGGCAGAATTTGAAATGCTTTCAAAAAAAATTGTAAAAGATTATTAGATTTTTTAAAAGTTTTGAAAATATTTAACCCTGAATTTAAAAATATGTACAAAACATTTTTAAGCAAAAATATGAAAGATTTTATTTTTAAATTTGTTATCTCATCTTTAAAGATTTTTTATACATGAAAATTACAAAAAAATTACTTATAGAATTTTTTAGAAAAAAATGAATTTGATCAAAAATTTCATAAAAAATTCTGCAAAGATTTTTGCTCAAATTGAAGATTTTTTTTAAACTTTGAATCATATTTTAAAATTCCAAATCATATTTGTAAAAATATTTCATTGAATTTTTATGCATAAAAAATCTTTCATGATTGAATCATAAATTTTTTTAAAAAGATTTTGATTTTTTAAAAAATTTTACACTATCATCAAATATATTTTGTCCACTATAGTTTTTATAAAAAGAATAAAGCTGCTCAATATTTTTTTACACTTAAGTAATATAATAAATATGCTTGAGTCACATTATTAAAAAAAATCAATCTGCCAATTGCTTAGCCAGTGCCAGTCCAACAAAAAATACTATCATTTTATAGTTTAATTATAAACCAATTAATAACATATGCTTATTTCATTTGCTGATGCTGATTTTTCTTTAGTTATTTTGTTTGATAAATTATAAAGTTTTATTAACATTCCAAGAAGGTTTATCCATTTAAAATTTACTGCTTATCTTGTAACAATTTCGAGATATGCACATTTGTAAATATAATCTTAATATCTGCAAAAATATTGGCACAGCCCTAGTTTTTTTGACACCCTAATACTATAAGAAAAGATTAGCAATAATTATCTATTTTCTTAGTAATAAATAATTCCAAAGGGAAAAGCATAATATTATAATAATTGGTGTAGACACTTGGGATTGAACCCCCACCCCCTCCCCTCATGGAAAACATGATTAGATGAAAAGAAATTTCCAAAATACTTTTATATTGATACCAAGTTCGAAATTAAAATTTTTTTTTATATTAGATAATCTAATTTTATATTTATAGAAAATCAACTTGAAAAATCCTAAAAATGAATCAACAATACTATAGGCACATTTAATGTTTTAAACCTCTATCCTTATATTTTTATAATAGATAATTGTTAAGGGATGTGAACTTTCGACAAAAAAAAAGGGTCCGGGTTCGGGTACAGAAATAAAATTTGAAAGGACCCGGGTCCAGGGTTCGGGTACAGAAATAAAATTTGAAAGGACCCGGGTCCAGGGTTCGGATTCAGGGAACATAAAAATAATGACTCAAAATAAAAATTTTTTTTTATTCATTTATTATTATACTTCTATACATATTTATAATTTACAAAAGAAAAATTTAAAAATGAAATAATTTATTTTTTAAATGTTTTATTCTCGCACAATAATAATATCTTCTAAAATATCATATTTGAGATTTCTATGTAAAGTAGACAATATATATTTTAAAGATGAAAATTCACGTTCTACCCTTATCTAAAATAGATAGTTATCTTTATACTTGTGTCGCCGGTACAGCCATGAAGGTTCTAGATAAGATATATAATTCTGGATATATTGAAAAATTTTCTTCTCAGAATTTTATATATTTATATTCTTATTCTCTTAACTTCTGAGAACTTTACTATTATAGATGCAATAGGCATTTTTTGATCCTCCTTTCTATCTGATGATAATTTGATTTTTTTTTCTCTATCTAAAAGTAAAATTTTAAGATCATCAATGTTGCTATCATTATTATTATTATCACTACAACCAATAGGTATTGTCATAGCCTCCAGTATATTGTAAATAAAGGAGTTTTGCTTATGCCATAAATCCTTAAGATGGTCTTTAGCCATTTGTTTTTGCTAAATACTCAGAAACTTGATATCGAGGGTCTAAATATATAGAAGCATATACAACACTATTTTGCAAATATTGTTGCTCTCGAATTTTCATTGGCATCTAATCCAGATGACTTAAAATCAAATAAACATAATTGTTCTGATTGTAATCTTAATATTCTTATTTTTAAAGGAGCTAATACACTAGTAAGGCCCTTTATTTGGCACCAATCATCTTCCGACAAAATGATTTCACATGCTCCTTTAATAAAATCATTACAAAAATCTTTCAAACTTAGTAATCGTTCTAGCATCATACAAATTGAAAACCAATGTGTTGTTCTTTATCATTTAAATTAAAATATTATTACTTGTACTACAAAATAATTCACTTTCAAAATAGTCAACGTATTTCTATAACTTAGCATATTAATAAATTTACATAATAAAATATTATTACACTGGAAAATAATTTATGATATCAATCTCTAAATAAATGGAAGTCCAGGAAAAAAATTGGAAGAAAAACGCGAAGATAAAATAAATGATTCCACAAAAAAAAGTTAATAAAATTTAACAAAATTTATATTATGACACCTAGAACCCTTGGACCCTCCACTTTTAAAAAGAGTCCTAGTCCTGGTTAAGCCAAAATACGAGGGTCCAGGAGGGTTCAAGGTCCGGGTCCTGGTTCGTGTTCACATCCCTGTTTATTATTTGACTTTGTTTTAAATTCACTTTTTTAGTGATAGATTTTCACATAAAAAATTATTTTTATTAGTATGGGATCGACGTTTAATGCTTTTATATCCAAGTTTAAAAGTACACTTGTATTAGTAATACTGATCTTCATAGGGCATAATTATTTGAGCGTGAAAAATCTTAAAAAATATGTCCGACATAATCGCGAACGAATTTTGTTTATTTATTCCGAAAAGTCTGATTCGAAATAAAAATAAAATATATTTTGGCCAGTCCCGAATTTATTTAAATATAGAAATTAATTTTTTTTCAATAAAGTTATCATTTTTACACTGAGCAATATCGAGTTTTTGTTTTGATCATTTTATAAGCAAATAAAAACATTAAATGTGTATTTTTAAAATTAATCTAGTGTATAATTATTTTATAGAAATATAAAGATTATTTATTATATAAAATGTATATTTTTATTTTTAAAATATATTTTGGATTTAGAATAATTATAATGAAATATAATTATAACTTTATTATAAATATATACTATAAATGTTTAAAAATGGTATTCTAATATCCCAATGTTTAAAAATGGTATTCTAATATCCCAATGACTTATTTTGGCATCATGCACTTTAAGTTGATATAAAAAAGAGCATATTCATTTTTAATAAAATAATTATTCATAATATTATACTCTTATCTTTAATAATGAACAAAAAATTTTGAATTATTAAATAATATCCACAGAATTCGTTATATTGTTATAAAATCATATAATTCAGTAAAATGGTAAAGATAAAATTATGAAAATATGGAATATAGGAAAATAATTCCCTGGAAAATAAATTCCGGAAAAAAATTCCCGGAAAATAAATTCCCTGGAGAAAAATCCCCGGGAAAAAAATTCCCCAGAAGATTACTCCCCGGAAAAAAAATCCCCAGGAAAATAATCCCCAGGAAAATAATTCCCTGGAAAATAATTCCCCGGAAAAGAATTCCCAGGTAAATAATTCTCCGGAAAAAAATTCCCCATTTTTTAAATCCTATAAAATATTGAATTATTTTTATAAAATTAACAATATAGGAATTCAAAATCCATATAAATTGTTATCGGATCTATGACTAAATATGCCGCTGTAATAAACAAAGGGTATTCTAATTACATATAGCTGCAAAAATAAATGAGGAGCCAATTTAAAATTCCCGTCTATATACCAAGTTCTCGTTTCAGCTAACATTTTAAGCATATAATCGGTGGTAAATATAATTATTCGTTCATTAGAATCTCCGCCATTATCATGAAAAGAAATCTCTCATTCGTGGGAGATCCGGTTGAACCCAATCCTCTAATATTAAAAGAAATTTTCAATTAAAAAGATATTTATAGACATAAATATCATTTAACCTGAAATGCTTAATTCTACCAATGTGGCCGGAATAGGAGGAAACTTTTTATTTTGTGATTTCTAAGTGTCCTCTTGATACTATCTTCATTCAAAAGTCTTTTTTTGGATTCGGGAGACAATTTAGACATTTCTTCTGCGTATATTTGGCAAATATTTTGATTTGTTTCAGAGGCTTTTCTTTTCATCGTGCTTATTTTCAATTTGATATTCATGTGGGTTTATAGGATGAATATGAGGCGTATTTTCCAATGTATAGTCATTTACATTGTAATATTTCAAAATAACTGGGCATTTTTCAGCATTATATAATGTACATTTGTATCTTTAAAATTTCATAGTTTTATGATAATGGTAGGAAAATATGAAAAATTTTAGCATGCTTATTTAACGGAAGAATAAACATAAAAAATTTATTAAAATTATCAAAAATGTTTAAAATAGTAAAAGATAACTGGGATTATGTAAATTTCCGGAGTTAACTTTCAAATAAAAAAAGTTTCTATTTTAAGATTATAGTCCCTCCTGTGTTTTCTTTGATGAATTAAATATATTAAAAATTATAATATTCATAAAAATAAATAAATATTATTTAAATAAATAGTATATTTTTTTGGGCTTTCAATTACTTGAGATAGTCTTTGAATTAATAAGCTTTAGTAATTAGTGATTAGGATCAATACTTTTTTTTGAAAATTTATAATCAGATACAATTTTTAAAATCAATAGTATTAAACATAAAAAATTCTAATTATGTTATTTTTGTCCGGGATTCAAACTGATATAAACGAACGGAACAGAATAGTGTCATAATATTCATTTTAATGTTATATATATTTTAACCTTAGTGGCGTGTTAGAAATACCCCCCCCCCCTCTTCATGATGAATATAATGTGGTTTAATTACTGTTTTCATAATATCTATTCAAGTCTAGATGAAAAGTGGATTATGGAAATAACCTTTCTCTTTCTAGGGAAAAATTTACTTTCACATTTTTCTTTTCAATTTTAAATTGTAAAACCTCTTTCATAATTTTCATATATTTCTATAAAAATCTATCGTCACAAATCGATACTTTTTATGCTATCTACTAAATTCTAAAATATATTAGCTACCAACCGATTTATAAATTCTCATTTAACGTTTGCCCTTTTGGAATTAAAAAAGAAATACTCTTAACGTTCAGAAAATACTAATATAATTTTTTAGAAATATTTTCGTTATTTTAGCGGCGGATTAATTTTTGATAATTTAAAAATTATTCGGGGAATTTTTTCCGGTTTTTTTTCCTGGGATTAATTTTCCCCCATATTTTATTTAAAATCTAAAAAATGGGGAATTTATTTCCGGGGAATTATATTTTATGGGAATTTTTTTCCAGGGGAATATTTTTCCTGGTAATTATTTTCCAAGGATTTTTTTTCCGGGGAATTATTTTCAGGGGAACTATCTTCCAGGAGATATTTTTTCCTGGGATTTTTTTTCCGGGGAATTATTTTCCAGGGGATTTTTTTCCGGTGAATTATTTTCAGGGATTTTTTTTCCGGTTTTTTTCCGGGGAATTATTTTCCGCTTACTGAAAAGATGATTGGATAAAATTTAAAAATAAATGAGTTAATAAATAATTTTAAATTAAATCTATAGGCTTTTATAAATTTAGAATATATAATTATATTATATGATGTCAAAACAAATCGTGAGACGTCAAAGAGTTAAAAATGACACCCTCTATAATTTATTTATTTATTCCTAAAATTATAAAACAAAATAAAAGTTAAATATTTATATTCTTCATTAATAATTTTTTTTTAAATATTTAAATATATGATAATAAGCATATTTGATGAGTTTCATTGCTTCAAACGCCCTTTATAATGAATTTTTCTTATACCTAAAATTATAAAAAACTAAATAAAATTAATTTTTATTTTCTCCATTAATACTCTTATTTATATATTTAAATATAAATGTGATAAACACATTTCAAGTTTCATCATTTTAAATGGAGCACTTTTCAAAATAATTTTTTTTGTTCTACCGGAAATACAACGGCACTGAAGTTTTAAAAATAATTTTTGTCCTCAAGGAGAATCTTAAGGGCTACAAAATTTGACCAAAAATATTTTGAGTATTTTAAGATTCATTAAAAGAGGAAAATGCTCTAATCAAACTTTTAAGGCCCATAACTCGGATTTGAGCTAGGGTATTTTGATTTGTATAAAATATACAATCTATTTAACTTTCATGCCAAGTTTTGTCCATTTTTTAAAAAATAGTCTTCCTAGATCACGTTATTTTGGTCGATTTATCATGGAATTACCCAAAATCATTATTTGTAACTTTTACCCAAATTGACTATGATTTAATATATAAACTTTTAAACTTATTTTTTGAATAAATACACAAAGAGTGAACGATATATGGATTTTTTTAAGGGCATAAAAATTTTGTTTTAGAATCCCTCTAATATTAATAAAACTTATTTTATTTATAAGCTTTTGGCTTCATTCTCAATGCAACTAATCAAACATCATATCTTATACTAGCTAATCGAAAAGATATCAGAATTGTATCCTTAAAATTTCCCTATAAATCATCTATACTGATTGGCGGTTTAGATGATATGGTGGCATTAGATTTTCATTTTGAGGATCAGTTTATATTTTGGACTGATGTTAGTCAAGGTGTAATATATAAGGCAAAGTTTAAACACTTTTATTTATCATTACAAAAAGATCACTTTACTTATACAAATTATTCTCATATTGCTTATTTTGATAAAAATGATGATATTCGATCTCCAAATATTAATAGCATTTTAAAAAACAATCACAAGATTTCAACGATTAGTGGGACAGCTTTAAATCAAATTAATTTAAGTCTTGATCTAAACAAAAAAATTATTGTAAACAATAATGTCAAAGTTTTGAACTGGTCAAAATCTCAAAAATTTATAAATCATTACAATAGCAATACATTTGAAATAAGTAAAGTGGTATATCTAGGCGTTAAATCCCCTGAAGGTTTAGCTTGCGATTGGACAAGAAGAAAACTTTACTGGACGGATGCAACTATGAATCGCATTGAAGTATCAGATTTTGATGGAAAAATGCGAAAAATTTTATACTGGAAGAACCTTGAGCAACCATTGGCATTAACTTTGGATCCTTACCAAGGGTAATAATTAATTAACATTAAATGATTATAATTAAAATCTAACTAGACCCTGATTTTAATATATTGATATAAATAAACAAAATACTCTCATTTAGCCACCTCTTCTGGGCGATTTGGGGCGAGACTCCAAGCATAGAGAGAGGTGGGATGGATGGATCTGATTTGTCTCGAACCATCCTAGTTTCTAGTCAAATGTATTACCCCAGAGGACTTGCTTTGGATGGATTCCCAGCAACTCGCCTTTATTGGCTGGACAGTAAATTGAGCTACATAGCCAGCGTGAAATTGGATGGTACTGATCGCAGATACTTACTTCAGGGTGGGGCAGATCTGCCATACCCCTATGCTCTATCGATTTCGGCCGGCAAGCTGTACTGGACTGATTGGAATACACGGAGCATACATGCCTGTGATAAAATCAGTGGTAGAGATAGGGTAATTTAGTCAACATATAATTTTCAAATAAATTTTTAACCTTTCTAGCATTTGCAAAAAGTTGTAATAATTAGTGCCACTACCTTTTAAATAAGCGCCACATAAACACCGTTCCACTTCACCAATTCCGATTTAATATAAAATATAACCGACCCACCAATATTGGCGTTGTTTTAATGTCCCAAATAATGTTAAAAAAATTTATATCTAAAGATAATATAATAAAGAAGGAAAGATTTGTTAAAATAAATTTTTAAATAAGATACAAAGATAAGCTAAGCCCAATTCGGCCGAAAGCTCTCCCCAAAGCGGGCTTGGAATTAAAAATTAAAAAATGGGCCAAGCTTAAAAATTAATATTTAGGCTTGGCTCGGACCAATGAATTTATTAAAATAATTTATCTTTATGAAGTGGAAAGGCAATTTTCAAAAACTGGGATTTTTACAGATCTTACTTTTGGTGAAAAATATTTTAATCCTCTGTTTTTATGTTTCATAACCTTTTTTATTATTTACATTTTTTTCCACAACACTTTTTTCACGACACTTTTTTAGTTTCACAACATTTTTTTTAGATTTAACACCACTTTTTAGGTTTCACAACCCTTTTTTGTTTTACAAGATTTTTTTGTTTCATAACACATTTTAGATACACCACTGTAATATTTTCCCAATTTAAATCTAACCTTTTTTTATAATAAATTGAAACAACTAAATTTCAAATTTTTATTTTCTATTTCTAATAATTATATAATTCAAGAGAAAAAAAAATTACTTGAATATAATAACAATTCTGAACGATACAATCTATAAATTTAAAATAAAATAATATATTGCGTTTTTAATCTTTTTTTTGCGAACTTTATAGTTTTCAATTTTTTAAACGTTTCCCCCAATGATAGAATTCTCACTACCTACTTTAAAAATGAATGGTTCGCCAAAATAATCCTTAAGTTTCTATGTTTAGGCAATTTATACCCACGATCGCAATCTCCCGGGTTCTAATCTCTTTCGCAACTGATCACTGTGCCATACTCATTCCATCGAAAAACTTTACTCGACTCAATTTTATTTTCCATGATCACCCAGGATTTCTATTTTTCCCTATTTCTTAATATTCAGGATTACGGTCTGTCTCTTCACAAATTTAGACGCTTCATTTACCTCCGCTTTCATATCTTTATTTACCGTTTGCTTCAATAAATCAAATAAAATCCGGGTTCGCTGCCCTAAGAATTTCTTTGGGTATTGTTCTTCTTACTCCTTTCCGGCTATTTATTACGCCACTGCCATCCAGATTTCTACTCCTCCATACTTCAATTTTCGTAGCCAATTTTTGGCAATTTGTCAACATCCTCTCCGCTTGACCATTCAGGCTCAGATGATTTGGTAGCCCTAAAATGTGTCTGCTCCGTTTTCAGCACAAAATAACTTGAAATGTCAGCCTACGATGGCTGGTATCTGAACGATACTATTACTTTCGCCATCCCGAACCTAGCCCAACGATTTTTTAAAGTCTTCACCATCACTTGAGTTGTTAACCTCTGCAACTCTTCGTATCCTACCTACATTGAATAAGCGTCCCCCACACTTTACCTTCAAAGTCAGAAAAATTTATATGTATTCTTTCCTATGATTTTGTGCCCTAGGCCATACGTCTTTCTTGCCTTTATGCGGCAAACGCCAACATATTACACATCACACAACCCCTACTTATATTTCTATACTTTACTTTTGTTGTTTTTATTGAGGACATCATTAAATTTATCACATTATTAGTAGGGCTGTGCCGATATTAAATATCGGATCAGATCGGCACCGAAATTTAGCGTTTCCCCAAAATATCAGATCAGGTCGATACCTGTAAAAACCGATCCGATCTTTTTACTTTCTTTTCTTTTTTTTGTTATTTTATGTATATTTATTTTACATTAATAATATTTTCTAAATATTTTTTTTTAAACAATGCAAATGCACAACACCCCTTAAATTTTATTTATTTTTTCAAATAGATTTATAGTATTTTAAAAGTTTTAAATCTTTTTAAATAATAACGCCAATTTTATTATTTATACTTTAAATAAAAGAATTTATGTGAATTATGGAAATATTTTACAAAAGACAAAGCTAATTTTGCAAAATGCGTTATCTACGGAATTCTAATTTCACGGGGAGGAATAATGAAAAATTCATTTAATACTACCAATATCCGTAAACTTTTTTTAATTATTGTAGAAATAAAAAAATTAAATTAAATGCATAATTCAATTTTTTACATAAAAAATATTGATTTCTTAATTACATTTGGTTCAAAGGGGGTGGTGAAAAATCAATATAAATATCGGATCGGTTTAGAACCAATATCGGATCGGATGAAAAATATGTGGATCGGCACAACCTTAATTATTAGGGAGAAAATTAAGCTAAGTGGGATCGTAATGAAGCCATCTATTACAAACGATCACTATTCATGAAAGTAATTGATTCCATATAGCTATGCAAGTAAACCGATCTCTTTGTTTTTTTAGATTTAATTTATTTTTCTATTCAGGTTTTTTTAAAAACTTTTTTATATTTACGCTATATTTTTATAATCGTTAATTGTTTTTATATGACCTTTGTTTTAAATTCGTCTTTAAAAAATTCTTTATTTATTCCTGGTCACCAAACTTACTATCTTTCACTTTGTTCCATAGGTTCAAATCCCTGATGCCCTGCATGAATCATGGATAATATCGTCCCTCTTAATTTTAGCGGTACCACTCCTCGATTTTCTCCTAACAAACACCTGTCTATTATCGTTAGTTCTTTCTATATACTTAAAACTTCTATTCCCAATTCGTCATGCCTTTTTACCCATTATGTACTCCTTAATTCGCGTCAACTCGCGATCCTTTAAGATAACCCTAACCCTCTTAAGTTCTTTCCACGTTACTGGTCCACCTCCAGATATTCCGGCTACCATTCGAAACACTTGTTCATTTCTCCGCCCCTTCTTCGTCTCTATCACTGCCAAATCCTTTCCAGCTCCGCACATGGAGAAATATCCAATAGATAATTTTCTCTTCCTCCCCCATATTAGCCACCTTTGTAATCTGGGCGACAATACTCTTTATTGTCCTTTCGGAATAGACATACTAACGACTTGTGATCCATATATATATAACAAATCTACACCCAATCAAATATTCTCGATACTTTGTTAATATAAATATAACAACGCTTTCTGTTCAAGGACTGAATATCTTGCTTCCGTCGCTCTAAAACCTTCCGAGAAAAGCAAAACCGGACTTTCTAAATCACCTATGCAATGTAACAATGCTCCACAAACGGCCAGCACCACTCCAGATCGTTATTGAAGCATACTGAAATAGGTTTCCAATTCTACATTTCAACTCCTCAAACGCCTCTTATTTATTTTTTCATTCAAACCGTTCTCCTTTCTTTAACAATTTATTCAATGGCGCCACTATCAGGGCAAAACCTCTCACAAAGCGGCGATAATAAGTTACCATCCCCAGAAAGGCCTGCACCTCCACTTTATTATCGGCCTACACATCCTGGTTATTCTCGCCATTTAACCAGTAGCCTCATCTCTCTTAATCTTCTGCTCGAGATACGTTACTCCCAACACGTTTTTCTCGGCACTCGTTTATAATCCTTTTTCTTTAATTCTTCTAAACACTTCTTCCAATCTTCTTTCATGTTCTTCAGGAGGTCTTGCCATCACCAATGCATCATCCATATAATAAAATAGTCCTTTTAGCACTGAAAACGACCCATCGTTCGTCAAAAAATTAGAGCTGACACGCTTAGGCTAAAAGGTATTTACAGAAGGCCTGTAATCTTTTCTGAATAGTAATAGTTAATAATCGATCAAAAATGGCACATATTCGGCCGACCATTTTTAAAATTGTTAAAAATTCTGGACTTGTTTAGATAGTGAAGAAATGAAAAATCCGTTTATTTTAGCTCATAGCACATCTGCTTCCCGTGATGCAGGGCCTCAGATGTGCAATAAATTATAAATTTTGAATCTGTAAAATTATTAAAATGCTTATATCTCAATATATCATTTTAGGTAAAAAAATCTTTAAAGGTCTATCATAAAAGAAAATTTGGCTCCAATTTGAATCTTTAACTTTCGGTTTGCATATATTGCTTTATACCCTTGTTTTTAAGCATTACCAAATATTTGAATTTTTATTTGCAAAAAATAGATCGCAATACCAAATTATGCTTAAAATTTTGTTGCTAATTTACTAATAAGATATCGTTATTTTTTATTCTAAATATTTTGAATTTCTGGGCCATCCATGTCAATTCAATCAAAAGGCCCATTTTCGGCCGACCCCATTAAAATTTTAAATATTGTGGTGTTATTTAGACCGGTAAAAAAAAATAAGAAAGCCGTTTATTTCAGCCGCTAGCACACCTTTTATCCGAGATAAAATGAAAGAGAATATACTGTTCAAGTTGAATTTGCAGGAAATGATGCCTTTGTCGTTCAAGTTGAAGTGCAAGGATTTATGAGAATCGCAAAAATATCTGCCACCATGAAAATGATTTCGGAATAAAAGCGGAGTGGCATTTATGGGCCACATCTCATGACAAAATGCATGTGATGGAGTCGAATACAGTCGAACATAGTGGCCAGGGCTAGTTTACAACGATATGTTTCAGAACAAATAACTTTTCATCAAGAGTTTTTTGCCTATTCTAAGAAAAAATTAAAGACATAGCAAATCGATTTCAATGAATAGATTTCTCCTATATTATATAGGACGAATATGAGAAAGAGCAAATAATTATAGAAGAAAGATTCAATAAAGCTCTATCAATATTAGCAACGCAAAATTTTTATATTTTTATCCAATTTCCAAAGTAAAAATTTAAGTTATATTTTATTCAAATTCAACTGAATCTCAAATTTCAAAAATTTCACTCAAATATTAATGCAAATTTAATATATGAAAAAATAAATGGATATATAACATGTATCTATGACAATCAATGGTTATCATTAATAAAAAATGAATAATAAAAAATTGTACGAAAGACATTGGCGTACACAGCGGGGGGGGGGCAGGGAGACAAATCACCCCCCCCCCCCCTTCCCCCAAGCCAAAAAATGCAGATGCCGGATATATTTTTCAAAAATATTTTTGTTTAGAGTGTTGTGTAGATTTAATTTAAAACATTTCCATATTTTTTAATTCGTTTGTAAATAAAAATTTTAACTTATAAAAATTAATAAGAATATATAAATATGTTATTTTTACAACTTTTTACAACTTTTTACAAGTCAAATAATTTTATTTTCAAATAAATAAATTAATATGGAAATGTTTTGAATTATATTTGCACAGTACTATGTTAATTTATATTTGTTAATATTTATTCCTATCTCATATTAAATATATATTTAATTATTTATTATCACATTCATCACTAAGTTTATCAATTAATTTCGATTTCAAGTTTTCCGGCGTAATATTATCTTATTATTTTCAAATTTTTAGTGGCGTAATATTTATTTACCATTTTAAATTTCTAGTCAAATAATAATTATTCTGAAATTGTCGAACAGGGAGAAAGAAATTGCAACCTTTTCCTACGAGATAGAGTCTCCGCCATCAAGCAGTAACAGCTTTTATGGAGTTAGAAGAGCCGATTATTTTACATACGATGTGTAAACCTTGGAGAAGCTATCAGCTCTTCTGAAATATGCATTTTTACCAAATATTGAAATTTTTATTTGCATAAAATAAATGACGCTATACGAAACTACAAATTAGGGTTAAAATTTTGTTGATAATTTACCAATAACAAGATATTTTCACTTTTATACTAAATTTCGAATTTCTATTAAATGTACCAAACTGATGGGTTGTAGGGGCAAATGTCCTTTAGACATCTTAATAATGTATCAAATTTCCAATAATATATTTCTTTCGTCAGGCGCGTACGCAGGAATTTGGTCTGGGGGGGGGGGAGGATAATAAAAATTTTTAAGAAATATTATTGTTTTTTAAAAATATCAAGCATAAATTTATTAGGACTAATAACTATTTCTAATACACAATTTTAAATTAATGTGAATTATAAAAAAATTATATGTAAAGAATCACTTAAATGACCCAAAATAGAAATTTGAATTTTTTGAGCTTTAAAATTTATATATAAAGTATAAAAAATTTAAATGTTAGAAATATAAATTAATACACAAAAAGCTTAGGAAATAATTGTATTTTGTATGTTATATATTTACAATGTAAAATTCAATCTTCGTTGGGATTGAGCTAATTTTTCAATTATCTCATCCTTGCTTGTTGTCAAATGCCTATGAATATTCAAAAGATCCAAACTTTTCCATCTACTTTCAAAAGTTGTATTTCTTGGTATGTTTTTCAGAGATATGCAGGCCCGGCCCGAAATTATTTAAAAAAACACCCGGGCTGAGCCTGAATTTTTTTAAAAAAACATCTAGGCCGGGCCTGAAAATTTTTTTAAAAAAAATATCCGGGCCGGACTGTTTATTTTATAACAGCCTATATTTGAAATCGTTATTATTAGCTATAAAAATCAAAAATAAATATAATTTATTTTAAAAAAAATCCGGGTCGGGCCTGAAAATTTTATTTTATAAAAGGCCGGGCCGGGCCTGAAAATTGAGATTAGCCGTAAAAATCTTTAAAAAACCCGGGTCGTGCGCTGCAAATGGTACCTCTGCAGGGCTCAGTTATTCTTAAAAAAGAGAATGTTCTCTCATTAGTTTACTATTGGGAAGAGTTGCTAATATATATAAACCCTTTTAATACATTGGGAATATAATCTAAAATGTGTTTGAAATAATGCAGAGCATCCATAGCATTTTTTGGGACTGTATCAATCATAGTTAATCTTATAAACATAGTTATTCAGCTAATAAGGCATCATAAGATACTTTAACATCTTCATGATAAAAATCCAACAAATATTTTTTTTTCTATCACCATCTGAAAAAGGTTGGGAAGGCTTTTATGGAAATTATAATTTTTATAGCTAATGGCGATTTAAAATATTCGGTTTTATTTTTTTAGGCACGGCCCGGGTATATTTAAAAAAATGAAATATGGCCCGGGCTGGGCCGGACCTGCAGGTCTGATATTTATATCTAAATATAGATAAAGATATATTAGAAGATCCGGATAAGTGCTATCATTTTAGAAGAACCGAATCCCAGCCTTAAGATTAGGCCCAGGCATTGCACCGAATATCTTGTGCATTTTTACTCATATATATTATAAACATAATATTTTACTATAATAGTTTTTGAGTTAAAGGTTAATATAATATCAATGTTGCAAATAATTTGATAGATTACCTTGGTCGATGGTCTCTACTCCCCAACCGATTTGCATGTTTTCGAGCGTGCCTCGCAGCCATATTGTAAGCCGATTTTTTGATATTTTTAATTTGTTAAATTGAATATATGATAAATACAAAAAATTTCATCTTTTTACGAATCCAATACCAACGATTGCAGGTCCTAACACGTGCGGTCAAGATAATGGGAAATGTTCTCATCTATGTCTAATGTCCCCCTTTGATCCATTTTATTCTTGCGCTTGTCCTACTGGTGTCAAACTCTTGGAAGATAATCGCACATGTTATAAAGGTTTTTATTTAATATTTATCTTAAATTTATTTAATTTTCATAAGGGTCATAATTTTATATAAGATTTGACCATAGAAGTAAGATTGTGGATAAGCATTAATAAATGAGCAGGAAATAATCCATTTTGGAAATATAAAAAATAGATCATATAATGTTTTATTCACATTTTTTTCTTTTCTCATATTGAATCTAGGATGTAATATCTTTTCTTCGAAAATTTTCTTTATCCACTCTTCGTATAATATGCATATTTTTATAAAAAGTTCAAATACCAGGAACCGGCGCCTCTTTTTTCCTGACTAGGCCTACTAAAAAACGAATCGAATAATTGCGATATTCGTATTCGTACAATACGAATCGAATAATTTATTATTCGTTTTCATAAAAAGAATAAAATCATTATTCGATTCGATTCGAAATTTTGAAGCTTATAAAAAATATATAATTTTTTGCAAAAAAATTATAAACAGATGTAATATTTTAAGATGACACTTTTTAGGATTCTAAAACTAATTGTCATTAGCATATAAAAATTTACAGAAAATAAAAAAATAAAACCCAATGATTTCATAGTTATCCAAACAACCAAAAATGTTGGATTTTTAGAATATTGCTTATAAAAAATATTTATTATTTCTTCAATCTTAATATTCAAAATTTATTAAAATTTTCTAAAAATATACAATAATCTCATTTAATAAACATCAAAATATAATACACAAAAATATAATTATGCTAGATCCGAATTTGATAATAACCAGTTTTTAAGTATAAAGTCTTTCTAATATTTTTTTCCTTCAAAGACATTCTCTTTTTCATTATCATATGTGTTCCTATTGAGAACAACCGCTCACATGAAGTCGAAGATCCCTGAATTGAATATATCAGTTGCCATTTTCGATAACACAGGAAAACGATCCCCATGCAATCTCCACCATTCTAGCGGACTTTTATTAGAACTGATTCTTAATTCATTAAGATATGTTTCCACCTCAAATATTGATGCGATGTTATTTTGTTTGAAAATTCTATCCCGTGTATTAATATTATCTTTCACTTTGTATTCATTATATACATCCTTAAATTTTTCTAATAGAGTTGTATGTTATATGATGTTGGTAGTTCAAAAAATTCCATTTTTAGTTTAGGATCTAATATTGTTGATACAGTGAAACGTTAAAAATCAACTAACAATAAAAAGGGGGTAAATATAATTAGATTTTATTTTAATTTATTACATATTGAAATTAATTATGGAAAGCAATTAATTAACAAGATTAATCGTTTTTAAATTAATAAAAAGAAATTATGTTGTAAATATATAATTTGTGATAAAAAATGGAAATTTTTTTTTGATCTTCTTTGAGAATGTTCAAGTTAGATTTTTGATTAAATTTTATCTAAAATTCTAAATGATTTTTTGTAAAAAGTCTTTTTGATATTTAAAAATATTTTAGAATTTTTTAAATGTAATCTATTTTGAAATTTTGCATCCATTTATTTCGATAAAAATATGATAATACTATACATTTTTATAATAACTTCAATAAAATAATTAATACATAAAAATTATAATTATAATTTATCAAAATATTCTATTGTTCCACGAATTTGATGATGGTACCTTTTTAGAAATTAAAAGGGTTAATATAGTTATTAATACAAATTAATTAAAAGGATTACCTAATTAATCAGTTGCCCGCGATAACCCATTTCCAAATAGCTTTGCATGTGATTGTAAAAGTTAGTAAAATCATAAGGAATAAATCCGTGTAAGAGCTGAATAATATTCCTTATAATTTCATCTCCGATATTTATTTTTTAATACTCCAAAAAAATTTTCGATGGGATTTAGCCGAGGTGAATATGGTGGTAGATATTCAATCCTATCCTTATATGCAACGATAAGATGGCTTCTATGGATAGATGCATTATCCATTACAATAATTGCATCTGGTGGTAAGACACTGATAAGCTCTGTCATAAAATCACGGAATAACAACCCATTATAAGCTCCTTTGATTATTACCCCTCCAATTCCAATTGTACAAAGTATGCTTACATTTTTACCCTTAGATGATGGAATTTTTATTATTGGACGGACATTGTATGGTGCCAAGGCGTAGATTGGTACAACGTGCAAGTTTATTCCAGTTCCATCTAAGAAAAATTTTTTTTCTCTTGGGGTATTTAAGATCTTTACACAATAGATTTGACGAATATTTATTGCCCCAGGAGTATTTCTTCTATCAGGCTCCTTGCCAGCTCTTTTTTTCGACCAACCTATATTTTTTATATATTTGCTAATTGTTGTTTTTGGACTACCAGGAGGTAAATTTTCTATTATTAAGCAATAAACTTATGATGCGTCTAATTATTGAAGTATCTTTTTTTTACTTCCTCTTTTTTGAATATTATATTCTTTTAAAGGATCTCCATTCTGGGAATCCCGTCTAAATTTATGAATTGATGCTATAGACATTTCGACGTATTTTGCAATGTCTTTAATTTTCATCTGTTGTATTTCAGGCATTGATAATATTTTAGTAACTATATCTATTTTCTCTTTATTCCAATATTTGTTTATTCTTTTTGGTCTTTGAATTCTCGACGAAGATTGGAAGTTTTCATTTAAATTGGAAAAAAATATTACTATTGGATAATAAAGATTCTATATTAAACATTTTTTTTTTATTATTTAAGAAAAATTTAAAAAATTAATAAATATTTTTTTACTATAACACATTTTTTATTTTTAATTAAATTTCCAACACATTTCTTTTCAACGATTAATCTTGTTAATTAATTACTTGTCCATATTTAATTTCAATATGTATTAAATTAAAATAAAATTTTATTATATTTACCCCTTTTTATTGTTAGTTGATTTTTAACACTTATAGTATGAATATTTGTTAAGTCATAATTATTTTCTATTTTCTCAATCTCACTGATAGCGTTTATAAAATTGACACCAAATGAATTTAAATGTTCGATTACTTGTTCATAACACCAAAAATGATTAAAAGGAAACCATCAAAATAAAATAATTATATTTTAATTTACTTTGTTGGGGCGTTTCCCTTCTCATAACTTTATCAAAAAATATAAATTAATAAATTATGTATTATTTGATATTAGGAAATAAAATTAAATAAAACGAAATGATATCTACTAGGAAAATTTAATTACTTCATTTTTATTATACTTACAATAAAATATTTACGAATATTTATAAATAAATAATTTCAAATAATACAAATAATTTTGCTCATTAAATTGTGCTATTCGTATTCGTAAAATACGAATTGAATCGAATCGAATTCAGAATAACAAATAATTCGTTTTAGGCCTATTCCTGACATAAAATGTAATGTCCACAAACCTTGCAAAATTATATAAGATGAATATAGAAAAAGAAATGGATGATGACCGTAACCTTAAATAGGCAATGATGACCGTAACCTTAAATAGGCATTTTAAAAGCCTAATTATAAAAAACTTTTAAATCAAGATGCACGCCATCATGTCCTTGAATTCCTGGACTAAAAATGGTTTAGTACTAGAATACAAAATGCACATTATAAGTTTTATAATAATTATTTTATATTTATGGCCTGGATATGCTCGGATTTTTATATATGATCATTTTACGGCTCGACCCAGAATTTTTTAAATTTCATTATTTTAAAAAATTTTGCAATTGTTTCAAAGGGAGATTGAAAATATGAGCAGTAAGTAAATAAATAATTATTTCTCTATTTTATGATTTTCCAACTGATTAATAGATATAATTTAAATAAATTTTATAAAAATCGGCCCTGCCTGAGCTGCTTTTAATTTTCGATTTATTATTAAATTTATTGATGTATGGCATTAACAGTTTAGTCTCATGCCTCTCATTTAGGACCAAAAGTTGCAATATATTTATGTGGTTGGATTCTATCACATCCTAGTCTTAACTAGAGGACTGCATGGGCTGTCCGAGCTTCGGACTCGGATATTGAAGATTTTTTCTCGGATACGGATCGGGCTTTGAGAAGTAGCTCAACCGGAGGCAAGACCCAAAAATTATATATTAGAAATATGCTCAATAATCATTTTGTTTCATCGAAATAAGATGACTACATCTTGAATTATAAGGCTCACTAAACCTACTTTCCTATTTTATGTGTTTTAGCTTGGAAATTCCTGACTCTCCCTGCTCCTTGGATAGCAGCTAAAGGGTATTTTCATCGGTTAATCGGATTTTTGATGAAAAAAGGACTAGCTTGAAGTCTGATAAACTTGATTCATCATTATTTATCTAATATATATAATCTCCATCATTAAAAAACATGATCGTTTTCGTATCATCTTAATGTATTAAAATTTAAAGAGACTATCTATTACCATGTCTTTTTTTTAAAATAATTTTTTTAATTTACCTTGTTATTTTTCTTCACATCTCTATTTCATATTTTATATCACTTTTTAACAATTCTTTCCTTTTTTTTCATCTTACAAAACAATTTTTTGACTTTTTATGATTTTTTTTCTCCTTATATTTTTATCTTTTAAATTTCACTTAATTTTTATTTCTCTTTACAATCAAATTTTTTTAAAAATATTTTTTGCATATCAAATTATTCTTTTACAATTATGATGTATATTATATGTCTTAATTTTTAAAAGGATCAGAACTATCCGGGATCATCACGGGATTTAAAAGGGTTCCTTAAGAAATCAACATTTTGAAGGGTATTAATCGATAGCTAATCAAAAGATCTATTTAAATGGAGTAATGGGCGAGTAAAAAAAATAATAAGGAATTATCAAAAATGAAAAGAAAAATAAATTAAGAAAAATTAAGATTAAAACTGACTTAAGGAGATTGCAAAAAGTTAGAAATATAATAAGAAGAAAAATTAAAAAAAACTAAAAATTTAAAAAAATAACGATTTTCCTTTTTTTTGGATCTTTTCCTTTTTTGTTTGACACTTTTCCTTTTTAACCTTTCCTTTTTTGTATAATACTTTTCCTTTTTTTGATCGAACTTTTTCCTAAGTCTTTGGGACTTTTCCTTTTTTGATTGATCCTTATCCTTTTATGTTTGACACTTTTCCTTTTTTGAATGGGGAATCCTATTACAAGCTCGGCCCAACTTGAAATTTTGCACATTTATACCTATATCCATATAAAAAAATTGAGAGAAAAATGCCGATATGATCATTTTCGGATTTTATATTGACTTTACTTCAATTATATCTAAAATTAAACACAGTGCATCCCCCCTCTATTTTTTGACATTTAGAGACCCATATCTCAGCCGCTGGTTGGAGTTGGAGATTAAATTTTTATTTTTTTCATAGTTGTAATACATACAAACTTAAATTATGTAAAAATCTGAAGGAGAAGTGGAGATAATAAGTTTTTTTATCTAAAGTAATAATAGTCTCTGTTCAAGGTTCAATGTTTGGATAAGAAATTATTATTATTTTTTAATGTTCCTTTTTTTATTTTTAATAATGTTTTTAATGTTTATTAGTAAATTATTTAAGAAATTAAAGAAAAAATATTTTTTAAATATCTCAAATCTTACATTTTTTTAAAAATATATATAATAATATACCTTATGTAAAATACATTTAAACTATAAACTTTAAAGAATTAATGGTAAATTATTAAAATATAAAAAAATATTTTTGAAAATATCTTAAAATTTTTTCATAAAGTTATTATACATAACAAAACAGCAATAATAATAATATATCTGGTAATTAATGCTGTGAAATTTTTTTTAGTTACAGTTGCAAATTACTAGTGATGTTAAAAGTTACTTTTGAAACATAACTAGTTACAGTTACTAGTTACATTCACAAAAACATAACTAGTTACAGTTACTAGTTACATTTTTACAAAAGTAACTAGTTATTAGTTACAGTTATTTTCAAAAGTAACTAGTTACTTACTTTATACATCCTTCATATGCGCATTATTTATTTATTAAATGCATTTATTTAATATAAAAAAAATTAGGATAAACAAAGTATAATCAGTTATTTAAAATAATATACAATTTATTTATATAAAAAAATATCGCAAAATTGAATATTTACATCGAATATAAAAATATATATTTGCATTGAAAAAAAAACATTTATTTTTCATAAAAATTAGAATCTAATAAATGTTTATTTGCTTTTAACAACAAATTAATTTCAAAGTTATTATCTAGGAGACGTGCTCGTTTATCTCCAAAAATGAGCTTACCTAGACTGAATAAGCGCTCTAAGGGAACACTTGATGTTAGAACAACTTTATATTTAATAAAGAGTAATTTTAACTTTGAAAAATCGTTATATAAATAAAAAGTGTTGTTATTAGATTTGATAAAGTTTTCTATAAGTTCATTATCCAGAATATTTTGGCGCTTTAGGTCAAAAAATCCAACAACATCAAGTGATGTTGGTTTTGAGCATGATTCATTCGTCTGGGATTCACTTTGAGGTATTAAGGTATTTATTAAATTTAAAATTTCCTCCTTTTTTGCTTTATTCCTTTCTTGCCTAATCCAAGGCCAGTCAGTTTTAAATAAAGGGTGAAGAATTGCAGCAATGATGTTGTCATTATCATAAAGATTATAAAGGGTGAAGAATTGCAGCAATGATGTTGTCATTATCATAAAGATTATTAAACCTATAACATGATATTATTAATTTATAAATAATTATTTGATTTTATTTACCTTTTTTCAATACTAGCTAATATAGTATCCTTTAGAGGTTGACAATATTTTAATCCCTGCACATCTGCCATACATATAAGTATTTGTGTTATTGTTGGGAACAATCAGACATTTTCACAAAATTTTAATTAATTTATCACAACATATTAAAAATAAAATTAATTATTTGAATATATCTTTAAAAGTAACTAGTTACTTTTGACAGTTACATTTCAAAAATTTTAACTAGTTACAGTTACTAGTTACTATTTTAAAAATATAACTAGTTACAGTTATTTTTTAGCCAAAATGTAACTAGTTACAGGTAACTAGTTACTTTAACATCACTACAAATTACCCACAAAAAGACAAATAGTTATAGTTACAAATTACATTTTCCCAGAAGTAACTAGTTGCAGTTACATTTCAAAACTTACTAGTTTTGCAAGTTATTTTATAAATTATTTACATATCTCATATTTTTCGATATAATCTTTTTTTATTATAAAAGAATTTTGCAATTTATTAATTTTATTAAAAGTAATTTAAATGAAATTCAATTTAAATAAAGATATAATTGTACGTAAGAATTGTATCATATAATATTATTTTCACCGAATTATTATATAAATATCACAATATAATATTTATTCATAAAAATTTGGGCTTAAAAATTTTTTATTTTGGTTTTAATCAATAAATTATTTGCAAAATTGAAGTCGTCTAAAGGCATGACTGTATTTTCTAAGAATAAATTTTCCTATAAAAATTTCTTATAAACAAACATTCTACAGCAGCATTTGGTTTATTAAGACATTTTGTTTAATAAGCATTATATTTAAAATATATGAAGATAATGAATGAGATATATATATATATATATATAAATTATATTTTAAAAAGTAACTTTAAAAGAAAACAGGTACTTTTGTCTTTACAATATTACATTTTTGATACATATCAAGTTACAGTTATTTTTTTCCCCAAATGCAAATAATAACTAGTTGCATTAAAAACATTACTTAACTATCTAGAGTTTAAAATATATTCCCCCCTATTATATCAAAGGCTTAGAACGTATGATTTTATTGGCCCGACGCACGGACATTAGGATTATCTCACTGGATACCTTAGACCACAACGACGTCATAGTACCCATCCAAGCTGGTTCTCCCATAAAAAATGCCATCTCTATCGACTACGACCCCATAACTCATAGAGTTTTTTGGTCCGATACTACTGTCAAAGCTATTAGAGGAGCGAACTTAGATGGGACAGGTTTATATAATATACACAAATTATATTACTGCACGAGAAATCCGGAAGGGGAGAGGATTTTGGTGATGCTATGGATATGATTATTTTTAATACAATGTTTAAGAAAGAATTAGAGAAGCGGGTTACTTGCAATTCGGGTATTGCTAAAAGTGCGGTGGATTATTTGTTAATGAGGAGATGTGATAGGAGCATAGTAAAAAAATGTGAAAGTGATACTGGGGGAAGAATGTATTGAGCAGCACCGACTATCTCACTTTTAAAGGCGCCAGGATAACTAAAAGAAGGTTTGTGCCAAGGCTGAAGGTTTAGAAATTGAAGGAGGAGAGTGCTAGACGTCAATTCAATATGACATTTACGATAAGATTAACGGAGGTCGCACAAATACTGGGGTAAATGACAAGGAAATGATGGAAAAAGCTTGGATGAGAGCAACTGAGGAGATTTGTGGATGGACAAAAGGGCCGCCTAGACGTAAGGAGACATGGTGGTAGAATTCTGAGGTAGCGAAAGCTCTGGACGAGAAACGGAGGTGTTACAAATGATATAATAGTAAAGAAAAAAGTGATAACGATATGTACAAGGTGGCAAAGAGTAATACCAAGAAATTAATGGCGAAACCGTAAGAAGAACAAATGCACGAGTTTGCTAAAGACATGGAATTTGCGGAAAGAATGGGAAATATGACGAGTGGCAAAAAAGTAGCAGGATGTGGTAGGTGTTAAATGTCTCAAAAATATGGAAGGAAAAATAGCGATATATTACTAGAATAAATTACGAGAGCATTGAAAAAGATCAAAAAAAAGCAGCGGAATTAACCAGCATGGTATCAGAAATATTTAAAAGTTCTGATGATTTAGGGATTAAATGGTTAACGAATTTAGCCAATCTAATTTTCACCCAAGGAACTATTCCTGAAGATTAGCGAAAAAGTATAATTATTCCTGAAATATGTGAGAATAGACTGGGATATAAATATGTTTTATTAGATAGATCATTTGATTCAAATATAATAACAATAATTTTATTATATAGATCATTTCATTCAAATATAATAACAATATCGAGCGTCACATTTTTTTATGCTCTGTTTCTTTTTTACATTTCTTTATATATGATATAAAACCAATCATGAAATGTTAACAATTTTAGTTCATCGCTTGCAGTGTTATATAGCAAACCATTTAATGGATATAATGTGATGAAAGAAATAAAAATCAGTCCGTAAAGTAATAGGTAACTTTACGGTTAAATTGAGATTTTTTAAATATTATCATTATTATAATTCTTTTTAACGTGACATATCAACATTCCACTCTCCAAAGAAATCCCTCCTAAGTTTTCCTTGGACATGTAGAGTGGACTAACAACCTGTTAAATCATTATTCATACTGGTCCCTTGACAAAATTGTTGTTTTTGCCAAGATCATTTCCCTGGGTTGTACTCTGCCCATTGATGTATATCAGGGTTATGGTGTCTTTAAAGCCAGCGCACAGCCTTATGGTATCGTCTCTCTTGAAAACAGGTTTCCGTGGACTTGTCCATCTGATTTGAGATACATGCTCTATGATATTATACGTCCAACGCACGAGTAATTACGCCAATCCTGGCATATGGCACTTTTTAGGGGGTATGATTCTAGGCGCAGCATCATGCTTCAAGTGAATCTTCACTTGCCTGATCATTTTGGGTTTGTTGGAGCGTGTTAACTAAAGATCTTTTTTCATCTTCTCGAGATCATTGTCTACTTTACCAACAATGAACGTTTTTAATATATTATTGAAGGCATGGAGCCATACACGTCCTAACAGGGGGCACTTATCACTATCCACAACGACTGCCTCCACCGTTTGTGTGTTTCCTTCAAACTTCACGTTAACATTTACTAAGCCTATGATTTTGATAGCGCTGCCGTCATACCCTGTCAGCCTCATATCGGTCTTGCGTGTCGTGGCTATCCCTACAGCCTTAGCTGTGTGCCTCGGTAATATCGTGAACCTGGTGCCAGTGTCTACTTGCATCAACATGGGTATGTCGTTTATGCTCACCTTGATATTGCACGCATTATATCTGGTGTCATTGACCCCAGATTGTTCACCTCCAGATTCTGGAGATTGTACTCTTTAACGCCAGTGTTTGTGACATCCTCATCATCGATTTCTTCGATGTTCATAGTATTTTTGGTGTTCGATTGAAAGTCACAATATTTATAATCATAAGATCTGTTATTGTTATAGTTATCATTGTTGTAATGGTTGGCCTAGGCAAATATTTAGGAAAACAATTGCTGTTTTGAGTGTTATGTCTATGATGACCACGGCGAAGGTAGTTGTATCGATTGTCGCATCTATAGTAATCATCGCTGACCATGACTTTGACTATGGTTACAACAGTTGTGGCGGTTGTCATAGTAGTTGTATCCGCGATTGTCGTATCGATCGTCATGGTGATTGTCGTGGATGTCATCGTGGCGATTGTTGAAACGGTTGTGGTTGACATGACGATTATCGTAGCGTTGATTGAAACGTTTGTTGCGGCAGTTGTATTTTACAAGAGTTTTACGGTCTCATGGCTATTTTTAGCTTTGCCCATGTAATTTATCTCTTGGATTCCAGTGATTCACCCATATGTATGGCTTCTGCTTTCACCACGCCTTTGATATCATTTGACTCCCTGATATCTTCCTCTAGACCTAGATTATATATGTCTTCCATGGTCATGTAGCTTGCTCTCAGATCTCTTTGGAAATCGTAGCCTCTCTAACCTTCTCGATGATGCATTGAATGCCACCAAATTTGCATTCTTTATTGAGTCTGGCTAAGCGTATAACCCATGCTGTGAATGTCACCTCTTTACCTGGGGTGGCAGTATAAAATACAGAGAGTCTGCCATTCACGGTCTTCGAAGGATTTTGAAGCTTAAATTGGTCAAGAAGAGCAATTGGGTCCTGGAGGTCTGCCTCCGTACAAATTGTTCAAATGCTGTTAAATTCGTTGTCGGGTAGACTTCGAAAAAACAAAGCTACCTTTTCCCCTTTAAAAATTTTGCTTATGTCGAAAAAACTTTGCAATTTCCTTATATAGGCGCTGTCATCGCTATTAAATTTAGAGAAATCCAATCTGACAAATTTGGTCATATTTGTGGAATTATTCGTTGCATCCATCCTTAAGAAATTTTATTTGTATATGAGCGTTATATTTGCTTCAAGAGAAAAAAGAATAGAGATGAGGATGATTAGGTGAATATGTGAATGAAGATGATTAGGTGAATATGTGAATGAGGATGATTAGGTGAATAAGTGGGGTACCTCAGAAAGAGGGAAAAACTAATAAGGAATTGCGAGCAAGAATGGGAATAGAAGTGATTTGAGTGGTAATGAAAAGAAAGACTAAGATGGTTTGGGAACACAAAAGATGACTGGGTAAAGAGATGCACCTTGATGGAAGTAGGCAGATCAAGACCTCGAGGAAGGTCTAAGATGACGCGATATAGGTGATATCGGCGGATATGAGAAAAATAAATCTTACAAATAATGAAGCTTTGAGCCGTCAAAAATGGAAAAGGAAAATCATAGGGGAAGGCTAACCTGAAACTTGGAAATCGCCATTAAACTGAAAAAGGAAAAATTGATATTATGACACTTTAAACTAATGAATGCCCTCTTTTTAACTAAATTAATGTCGTTAATAACTTATGTGGCTATCAATTAAGTTAATATTTTTTTAAAAACTATAATATGATAGACCACGAAATCTTAACCGAGGAGGATATTATAAGTCCCGATGGCATAGCCCTCGATTGGATCGGCCGGAATTTGTATTGGACGGATGCTGGAATGGATAAAATACAAGCTTGTAAGCTCGATTTTTATAACATAAGGACTCGCCAAAACCTTGATAAACATGCCAGTTTTAGGATTACTTTGATAAACAAAGAGCTGGACCAGCCCAGAGGAATAGCGCTGGATCCATTTAATGGGTAAATATATAATTTTTTAAACATTATTTTTTCTTATATAATTATTTTTATTAAAAGATAATTATTACAAACAATAAAAACCTAATATAATTTCCAAAAAAAACTTATATTGATTTATATATTGTGAATTCCATGACAAATCTGCAAAAAAACACGATTTTCTACCCGACTGCCTAAAATTTTTCTAAAATTTTAACTAGAGTCTGCATATATTATAACTAAGAAAAAAATAAAATTTCCAACTCCAAACAGCGGCTGAGATACGGGCCACTAAAAGTTGTAAAAATGGGGTTTTTTGGGCAAAATTATCTCTTTAATCTTACATATCTTTGGATATAATTGGGCTAAAAGCGTCATTTAAAATTTTTCTTATAGCCCTAATGGTAGGCCTTTAAAGTTTATAATGTAAAATATTGTTAAAAAATTTTAAATGTCAAAAGCCGGAAATAGTCATAAAATTTAATTGGTTTTTTTTTATTTCTCTCAAATTTGAAAGGCTACAGAATTAATTAATAAATGTGCAAAGTTTCAAATTAAGCTGAGCACAAGTTTAGGAGATATGACATTTTAATCATTAGTGAATTGCAAATATTTTTAATACATATTTGATATTAATCAATAATTGTAATATAAGTCCAAAGCTATCATATATTTTATGTTTAGTATTTAAAAAATAGCTATTTATGATCTGCGAAGTTTTTTTGGGGGGAGGGGGGGACCTTGGTTAATTTATTTGATGAATCGAATTTTCCTTAGAATAATAATTAAAAATTACAAATCAACTTTTGATTATAATCAGGATGTGAACCCGGACCCTGAACCCTCGTATTTTGGCTGAACCCTAACCCGGACCCTTTTAAAAAGTGGAGGGTTCAAGGGTTCAGGGTATTATAAAAAAATTTCTAACATAAAAATATTTTTTTAAAAAAATAATATAAAATTTTTATAATTTTATTAATTTTTTTCGTGGAATCATTTATTATATATTAGCGTTTTTCTTTCGCTTTTCTTCCTGGACTTCATTTCATTTTATTTAGAGATATACCATAAATTATTTTATAGTGTAAGTAATATTTTAATTGTGATAATTTATTTGCTCTTATTAGGAATACTTTGAGTATTTTGATTTGAAAGTGAAATATTTGGAATTTTTTTTTACTGCAAGTAATAATATTTTATAATTATATCTTATATAATAACTTTGTTTACTTGTTTTATAAAGTTTTATTAAGTGATTATTGTGCTATTAAGATTATGATTTTTTGAGAATTAAATTTAAATTAATCAAAATTGTAAATATATCATATTATTTTATTTATTCTGCATCCAAAATGTTTTGAAAAAATCTTAAAATTTTCACAAATTAATAACGAAACACTTTGAACACATTTAAGCTTTAAAAAAATTAAAATATTAAAAATGCTTGATATGATTATAAATATTTAATTGTATTTATTATTTTATATTACCTTTCAGTTATTAAGAACCTATTATTTGATAATAGTTATATTTAGATTTTTTATATACTTAATTAATATATACTATGTTGTAAATAATTATATCAATATTTTATAAATAGTTGGGAAAACCAATAATCCTATTTTGAAAGATATTCTTTCCATAAAATATATATAAAAAATTATTATATTTGAGTTAAATAAAATTGTGATAGAAATAATATAATTTTCCAGCATCTTTTAAATTATAATTTTTTATTTTTACCAGATTATAAAGCCTTTACAGTTAAAATTTTTTTTTCATTAGATCATAATTCAAGTTTTGTTTTTTCTTTTTCCTCCCAAATTTTCCTATTTTCTTTAGAATATCTAATTTTTAAGTCATTTTTGCACCAAAGGTTGTGCACTCTTATGCTTTCCTTAATTATTTTGACACTAAAATATATTAGTATAAAAGTCTATGGGTAGTACATTTAAAAAAATTAACAGCATTAAGAAAAATTTTACTTACTAATTTTTTATAAAAATTTCACAAATTTTTATAAATATGAAAAATAAAATTGAACACCATTTTATTTTTACTTTAAAAATAGATTATGTAATTTTTTTCTTCAAAATTTATTTATATTTTTAAGATTTTGGATGCAGCCTTAATAAAAAAAATATTTCTATGTGTCTATACTTTTAAGTTTTAAACAAATTAAGTATTATAATACAACTAAAGGGGATTCTGAGTGCAAAACCTGCCACATAATGATAAAAGGTTTACACAATACTAACCTGGAAAGACATTTAAAAATACATCATTCTATAATCTTTGAGAAATATTTAAATAGAAAAACCAAATTTTTGGAAGAAGACATTGTTAAAAAGCCTACATATTTTAAAGAAGAATGAAAATAATATTGAAAAATTTTGCTTAAAAAAAAGCATTCATATTCAAATGTGTGAAGAGATATTTATGAATGTTTTAGTTGAACTTGTTACAGTAAATGGAAGACCTTTGAATTATATTGAGGATTCGGGTTTAAAAAAAATTATTGACCTTATTAGTAAAGCAATTGGAACATCAATTAATCGCTTTAAAATTAAGGACTTAATGGTTAATGAATCGAAAAAAATACAAGCAAAAATAATAAATGAAACAAAAAACAAATTAATTTCATTAAAAATTGATTCCGCCCAAAGATTAGGGAGAAATATTCTAGGAATAAATATACAGTATATAAAAGGAGATAATATAATATTGAAATTTAGCTATGAAGGAGATTAAGGAGAGTTTAACTTCTGAAAATATAAAAAGAATGATACTAGAAACATTAAATAAATTTAATATTCCTATTAGAAACGTTTATACAATTACTACAGACAACGGTGCTAATCTCGTAAAATCAATCAAATTATTAAATGAATGTTCACTGGAAAAAATGGATGATATAGATGATGATGATGATAATTATGAGGAAATAAGTCAAATTGATTTACAGGAAATAATAAAAGATTTCTCCACAAAAATATACTGTATCAGATGTGCAGCCCATACGTTACAATTGGCTATTAATGATTCCTTAAAAAATAATCAATTTAAAACTATAATTGATAAAGCAAGGGATGTTGTAAAATATTTAAGAACTCCCACAATTGTAAGAATATTAAAATCGATGAAAAGGCAAATGGCTATATTAGATTGCACAACACGTTGGTCATCTATTTGTATGATGCTAGAGCGATTAATAAGTTTGAAAGATTTCTGTAATGATTTTATTATAGGAGCATGTGAAGTCATTTTGTCGGAAGATGATTGGAATCAAATAAAAGACCTTACTAGTGTGTTGGTTCCTTTAAAAATAACTACATTAAGATTGCAAGCAGAACAGTTATGTTTATCGGATTTTTATGGCATATGGATAAGATGTCGATTAGAGTTAGAAAGATTTACAAATTTTTTTTCATATGAAATATTAGAAAATATGAAAATTAGAAAGCAACAATATTTACAAAATAGTGTTGTATATGCTACAATATATTTAGACCCTCGATATCAAGTTTTATTAAGTATTGAGCAAAAACAAATGGCTATAGACCATCTTGAGGATTTATGGCATACCCAAAACTCTATTATTAACAATATATTGGAGGCTACTACAATATCTACTGATTGTGGCGAGAACAATGATAATGAACGCAATATTGATGATCTGGAAATTTTACTATTAGATAGAGAGAAAAAAATCAAATTATCGTTAGATAGAAAGGAGCAAAAAATACCTATTGTATCTTTATTAGAAAAGTTCTCCGAAGTAAAGAGAATAAATAAAGATGGAAATATTTTAAAATTCTGGGAAGAAAATTTATATATCCAGAATTATATACCTTGTCTAGAATCGTCATGGCTGTGCCAGCGACACAAGTACAATAATTTATGTATTATAAAAATGACTCTATTTTAGGTAAGCGTAGAACTATAAATTATTTCATTTGGAATTATGAATGTGTATATATTGAAGTATAATAAAAATAAAAAAAATGAATGGGAAAAAGTCTTATTTTGAGTCATTATTTTTATGTTCCCTGAACCCGAACCCTGGACCCGGGTCCTTTTTAAATTTATTACAGGACCCTAACCCGGACCCTTTTTTTTTGTCGAAGGGTTCACATCCCTGATTATAATTTAGCCAAAATTTAATTTTCATATTTTGCATATTCAATAATTTTCACAATATGAAAATAATTAAACCTTAATTTAATTTTCCCGTGGCATAAATGCATCAACACTTTTGTATTCTGAGAACCAAATATTTTAACATATTTATCATCTTTTACATATGCGTAATATTTCAGTGATATTTTAAAATGAATCTAATGTATAATATTTGATTCTCATATGAACGCTAAAGTTTGGCAATGTTTGCCATGGGCCTTTATGAAAAATGTCATTCCGCATTGATTTCTAATTCAAGTTTACGATTATGAATTTTATAAAAAAACATTTTTGATAAATTTTGATTTTAAGAAAACCAATCATTTTAGTTTAGAAAAAAAAAGAATTGGTCTTAAATCTGCAATTTTATTCAAGTTCTATGAGTTTCTAAATTGGAATATAATTCTCTATGTTGGCATATGATTAGGATTTTTTTCAATTGTTTCACTCTTTTAACATTTATTGATATAAAACCATTTTTACCAGGCATCATACGACTCTTAATCGAATTATAAAATTTTCGAATAATATCTATAAAATAGTCTCAAAAAACATTGCAGCCCTAATAATATTTGGATTGGATAAATTTTTCTTGACCAATTTCTTTGCTATCCTTGCCATGGATTCAGTCGTAGAAAATTTTTCTTGTTTTTAATGTATAATAATTTTTATAAAACCGTCAATATTTGACAATTTTTATTTCGAGAATTAATTATTTCACATTCATCGTTAATATTAAAATTATCTTCTGAAAAAATTTTTATAACATATTTCTTATTTTTTTGTCAAGTAGTGCAAATTTTATCGAAACCACATTTCTTAGGCCTTCACAACATATATTT